TTCTGGGAGGAGGTCAATAACTACTATTGGTCGAGTTACTTCATTCTTCAACAGTCCCTTCTTTCTGTCAGACCAGCGGTATGGTGTCCTTCGAATAAGAAAATTACATAATATAAAGTTACCAGCCTGCATAAAATATATTTTAAGTGGTTTTTGAGGGTGCTGAGTTTAAATATTTGATTTGTTTTTTGAGAAATTTGATTGGTTGGCAGATTACCATTTGATTTTTGGCTGTGAACAATACAGTTTCTTAAAGTTAACATTAGAAAAAAGTTATGACATCTGAAAAAATTAGGATATCATATTTTCAATTCCTGTCGATTTGACCATTGAATGTATCATTTTGTACCATCTGAATATTGCAAGAAACATGACAAACTAAAATAACTAAACTTTTTATATACTACTGGGTGACCAATCTAACACATTTTTAAAATTGTGTATTTCTCTACTGCACATAATTTAAAGAATTTTTCAAATATATGTTAGATTGTTCACTTGGTGTGAAAAAATATGTTAGATTGGTCACTTGGTGTGATAAACCCTTACATAAGATAACCTTTGTAGTTATATAAATCAGATACTATAATAGAAGCATTAAAAGTACAAAATACAACATATAATCTAATAATTTTAATGTTTGTTGTTATTTTTTGCTCGGGCAATGCTAGGCTTATCCTCTAGTATTTAATAACTTAAAATATTTTAGATGATTTTTATATATGTAATTTTTAAAATTATAAGAAATAGAAATCTTAACTTCTTTTTCAGACAGCATGGATTTCCATTTTTTTACATGGCACATGATTTTTAAATCTTAAATACATAATTATACATTTTCTTTTTCACATAAAATATTTGACAATTTATATAATGGACAATATAACATATTAGAAGATATTATATAAATTATATAGTAATATATTTCAGTTTAATCAGAACTTATTATATAAATTATAGATTCTTAAATTTAAAATCTTGGGCCTTGTAAGAAATTCACAATGTCCAAAAAAAGTGGTTCAAATTTCTATTTCTTTATGAATTTAAAAATTATTACAAAATTTATAGACTGTCAAATTGAAAGAAATTATTGAAGAAGTAAAATGAAATATGATATTGGCTAGTAAAGAAGATAGTATTTCTTTATAGTATTACTAGTGAATATAAATCAGTATCTCCGTTATAATTAGGAAGTATTGAGATAATGTTAATACTAAGTCCCTAGTTTTTAACAAGCTTTATGACTTTTATTTTGATATAAATAATATGCAATCTAAAAATAAAGTATTTTAAGAATGATATTGATTTTGGCATATGAATACAAAAACTCATATGCCAAAATCAATATCATTTCTAAAATTTTAAAAATAGCAATAGTTATTTTCTTTTATATAATAAAATAATACAAATTTGAAAGAAGAATTATTATAAGAAATGTGAAACAATTAACAGCTCGCAACTCAGAAAACAGGAATATTTTATTAAATTATGTTCAAAAATTCTATTTTCTATTGTTTGAATTATGGACTACTGTTAAGGACAGATATTGAGTTGAACTAATTATACTAACTATTGTAAAAATAATATAAGCATGTTTTACTGTTATAATTTTTAAAAACTATAAACATTATATATATAAATTTATATTAAATAATCAAATGCTGATTTCATTAATAAGCAAAAGTTATAAAAGTGTAAATCCTACAGAGGCATCACTATTAAAGGATTAAATCAAGAACCAAAATATTTTGAATTTAAGGATCTTGTGGATTTACTTTTTAATTATATGTTTGTATGTTTGATACTGTTTAATTGACAAAATCAACTATTTCATCAAGTTTAATTGTTTTCATCAAAATTGTTGATTATTTCTTTCTCTTTTTTTAGTCTTTTTATAGTAATTTAATATAGTAAATAATTTTAGGAATAATAAGTAAATCTTTTTATTTTTACAATATTGAGTAATTTTAAGAGTTAAACAGATACTGGTTATACAGTATATTCATTAACTGCTTTCTTCAGAGTGTAAATTTTTCATTATTTCAAGCACTCTCGGGTTATGAGAAGTTTTTTCTTTTTTGTTATTTCAGAAATATGAAAATGCTAGTAAATGCTCCTCTGCTTTTTTAAGTGTTTTAGATGACAGCACAAACAAAGAAGTCTTCTTCACTTCAATTTCTTTTTTTTAAGACTTTTCCTGTTTTGCCATTAATAATTCTGTTTTTATATTCTGTTTTACATAGTTTTTATATAAATAAAAGCTCTGCAAATTTTTTGAATCTTATGTCTACAGGTTGGTGTGTGCTTTCTGTATATAAGCAAATTTAGTATAAGGGCTCATATAGTAAAGGAATTCTATAAATTCTGACTTTTTGAGTTTGATCTCTGCTCTCTCCATTCTTGAAATGGAAGGTTCTTGTATTTCTCCCTTTTTTGCATATATTAATTGGAAAAACTTTTTAAGAAACTTTGTATTCATATAGATTGTTTGTTTGTTCTTTATTAGAAATACTAATTTAATAAAATTAGTTAAATTATTCATCTTTCAGTATTTGTGAGGCATTTTTACTCCTTTTTAAAAAGATCCTTTTAAAAATATTAATTAGTTTTGATTTAAAATGTAAGTATGCTGATTAGAGGTTAGTACTTTACTCCTTTCCTTCAGGATAGTCTAGGGCCCTCTTGTATGTGGGTGGTGGTTTGTGGAGACAGGAAAAGACAAGTGTTTCACAAAATCGTTTATTTATTGTTGATTATGCTTACATAATTTTGGTTTTTGAGGTCTGAAATTTCAATGTCCTGTCAAGTAGTTTCTTGGAATATCTTTTATTTTCGTTCTTCCAGATGGAGCAGCCCTGAGGCATGGCAAGTCAAAGTTTATAGTAGAGGTGACACACATAATAATAATCTGGACACCTTTTTTTGGGATGATGTAGAAAGTTGGATCTTGGAGGGGGAAATCTGGGATAAAAGCCAGAGGAAGAAATCTAGAGCTCTCCGTGTCCTTAGAGATGGAGGTTTTATATGTTTATTTTGTGTGATTATTTTCTTACTGGTCAGACTTTCCCTTCCTCACTCTCCGATTGGTCTCTTACAGCTTTCAAGATGAAAATTGAGACCAATTTTAGGTTGTGAGAAAGGTCTGCCTGGGATGGTTTATCCGACACCATCCTCTTGACTGATCACAATTTATCAAAGACTAAGACACCCATGCTCATATTTTACCTTCGTTTCCCTTTTCCTTATTGCATCTTTTAAATAATTCCCTTTTTAATTTAATTTTATTTTAAAAATTATTTTTCCTTTATTTCTTATGAGCGAGATGATGTCAAAATCATGAGGCATAAACTCGTGACCAAATTACCAATGATGTTTACTACAAGATATTATTTCCATTCATGAATGATAGAAATAAAGTACCATCAATAAAGTTTTTTGTTTTTTTCAGATACAAATTTCACAAAATATTAGAAAAACTATTTTACAATTGATTTCAAAGTTTTGAAGAACTGTTAGTGTATTAATGTAATAAATAAAATAATTTAATAGGAAAATTGCAATGATAAATATTGAGAATTATGGATATACTTTCTGAAGCTTTCTATTCTCTAGAAAAAGAAACTTTTGAGATACCTAAACATTTTACCAAGTCAGTTGAAAGGTTTGTTCATAGATTGGGTGCTCAGTTTGCTCAAGTAGTTTTTATTTCAATGCTCTCATTTTAAAAACAGATAAATGGAATCATATCTGATATACTGTGTATCTGTTATTATTACCGATTCAATTTAATTTCAAAAATGAACTTTGCTACATCATATCCCAGCTCAGTTTATCTCAGCTCTCAACTTTGGTCTAAATGCACAGCCTACCTGATTGCGCTCGATTGTCTTAGTTATACATTATAAGTGTCTAATATTTGTTGTTAAGTTCCATCAAGTCGTCTTCGACTCCTGGTGACTGCATGGACAAGTCTTTCCTTGTCCATGTAGTTTACTTGGCAAGAGTTGAGGAAGTGGTTTGCCATTGCCTTCTTCCTTGAATGATGTGTCACGCGCGCGCGGGAAAAGAATGCCTTCCGGGAGGACTTTTATAGGGAACTGGCCTCCTATTTAGTCATTATTGGCAAGGAGAAAACCCAGAAAACTCCAAGCAGCCAGCCTGTCCGATCGCGGCACGAACCCACGACTGAACTTCCCAGTGTTCAGGGTCCAGTCACCACCACTATGAGCGGCAACGGAGACCACTTGGCCACTGGTGGGCCAAGTGTCTAATATATATACTGATAAAACAACATTGAGAAGTCTGTAAATGAGAATCTGAGAAGATAAGTTAAATTTACATCATGTTTTCATAATTTATATTCTGCTTTAAGGAATAATTACAATAAATGCAAAAGTGCTTGCTTTAATTTTTAACTTTTTCAAAGTATTTTGTGTAAATTTCTTTTTAATGTCATTTATATAGATTGCTTTATAACATTTAAATATATTCATAGTAATAATGAATAGGTTTATTTTAAATTGTATTTGTAATTGTAATAAAGAGAATATTCATTCTTATTTTTATAAATATTACCTACAGTAAAGGTTAAATAAAATGAATAAAAACAAAATTATTAGTATTATATAACTAAGCATATAAGATTAAAATATAAACTTTTGTTCTTATAATTCTGTTGATTTGCTGCATTATCACAATTCATTAACCATATGTTGTTGTTGTTATAAGTTAATGTACAGAATAGTCATATGAACAACTAAATATTATTATTTTTTCCAGATTGTTTTAACATAATGCTTGGTTGTTTGCTGATTATAAAATTTTAGATTGATTTAATTTGTATGTATGAAATGTGCAGAATAATTAATATAATATTTCGGTTAAATGTAAATAATTTCAATTTTTATTTTTTGAGATAATTTTATTAATATATTAAAACAAGTATTTATTAATAAAATATTAATTGTTAATTATACTAAATTAAAACACTTTTTTAATAGGTGTAGGTACATATTGGTACAAAAAGAATGGGGAAGTTTATAGTGGCAATTGGGTTAAAGGAAGAAGATCAGGTTATGGAACTTTATCTATACCTCATCCAACAATTGAAAATGAAAATTGGAAATATTATGTAGGAGACTGGAAAAATGATAAACAACATGTAAGTTTTATAATGATGATGATGAAAATTTATGTAGTAATAAAAAATAACTTTTTCAGTAAATTTGAAGATTTTATAAGATTCAAAAAATGTAACTTTCAATCTTTTTTTAAAATAACTTGACAAACATTATTATTATAGTAATATACAAGATCTGATCAAAATGTGTCAGGGATGAAGTTGTGAAAATAAAAAATAATACATTAATGGAGATGAAGGAGGAGGTTATTTCTAGTTTTACATAAGTTATACATTTTAGTGAGCTATCTACTAGCTTTTTTTAAAATTGCTTTTTGAAGTTGAGGAAAAGTATTATATTTTACAGCTTTCAAATTTTGGAATCTTTTTCTTTTAAAATTTTTTATTCTAGGAAATAGAAAATAAGTAACATGGAACAATGTTTCAGGAATATGAAAATGGTTATTATATCTAAAATTCAATGCATAATCAAAAATTTCTGTTAAAGTTGAGCAAAATATATAGTTTGTTATTATGATAGATCAGTTATTTGTAACATATGTCATGAATGCATTATTAATTTAAATTATAAATAAAAATTTAAATTGTTTATACTAGCAGAGCTTGGTTTTGATTGAGAAAAAATGATAAGCATAAGCATTAGTGTTGCTTTTAACTTAAACTCTCCTTGGTGATGAGATTTTCATGATGACTACAGTTTTTTTTTCTTAGCTTTTATGTAATAAATAAATGTTGTTCAAAAAATAAAAATATCTAAATAGTTCAGCCAGTTTGAGAATTTTGTTTCAAGATTCACTTCTTAGGCTGACCACAGTTTCTTGATACCAAAACAAAACAGGATCAACAGCTGATAAATAGAATAAACAGGTCCTCTCTTATTAAAATTTTGTCAAGAAATATAAATGGGCATTATATTAACAATTTGTTAATATATTATTACTGATTTTGATTTGGTGGTGTAAAAAAGGATATATAAATGTCTCTAAAAGATTTTATTTTCAAAAATCTAATAATAACATGATATACTGTAATAAAAATATCACTATTTAATAGTTAAGTTGATATAGGGGTTTCCTAGCATCAAATCAAGCATACATTTTTCAGATAAATAAACTTTTTTTGTGTATATTCTGATCACTCACAATTTTATCATAAAACTTGTTGCATTGTAAGTCACAGTTTTGCCTTATAATTAGATTAGCATTGCTTTCATGACTTCAATATTTAATTTCAACTTTTCTTTTAACCACAGGAATTCATGAGTGAAAATATTCTTTCAAAAGTTATAGTTTCTGATAAACTAAAGACTACTATCAAATTATTAAAATCTTGAAATTCAAGATCCTTTTTGTAAATTTTATTTAAATATTTTGACCCCTCTGTCACTACATTGGTTTTTTCTCCTTTCAATTGCTTCAAGTGTTTAGTTATTGTGTTTATTAGTGCCATTGATTGAATTGTTGAATTTCATCCGTTTCTCTTCAGGTGATATGTTCCTCAATATTGTTCAACCTATTCTGTAAGCTATATTTTATGCCATTTCTTTCTCAGTAATATCTATTCAAATTTATGACCTTTATCAATGCAGAATAAATATTTTCTAACAAGTCACACATTCAGAACACAATATGTAAATGCATTTAATATACAGGGCATTCTGTAAAAACTGCATAAACTCTGCAGAGTGCGAATCCTTGCTTGGAGTACATAAAAAAATGAACCAAGAACCATATCTTTACAACCCATGGTTTTTGAGAAAAATGTGAAAGAAAAAGTATGACATCACACCTGGAGTTTTATTGGAAACATGAACATCAGTACTTGCATATGACATTATGCTTACACAGGAAGATGCTGAAAATGACCACCATGCATATCAAGGCATGTATGTGCATGTCTTAGAATGGCTGACTTCACATGCTTCAGCATCATGTTGTCCACAAAAGTGAACTACCGTGAAGATGAGCAACCAAGTGTAGTAACTGGGTTTGATATACCAATTCCTTAAGATGACCCATAGGAAGAAATCCAAAGATGTCAGATCTGGCAATCATGGTAGCCACACAACTAGACCCCCACATCCAATCCAGTAACCTAGGTATTCCATATCCAATTAATCATATACAGGAAAGCAGAGATGTGCTGGTACTCCATCATGCTGGAATCACAGGCCACGTATTGCTGATCAAGGAAATCAGTACTTCATGGAGAAATACCAAGTATGAATGTTCTGTGATATGTTGAGATAGCAGATATGGTCCAGTAATGTGATTGCCCAGTATGCCAGCCTATACATTTACAGACCAGCAGACCTGGTGTCTCTGTGGGAAGATCACAAGAGGATTGGACTCTGACCACATGTCTGTTGTGACTATTGAAGACTACAGAATGTGATTTGGTTACTCATCTTCATGCTATGTTCACTTTTGTGCACAGCACAATGCTAGATCATGTGCAGTCAGCCATTCTATGGCATGCATATACATGCCTTGATATGTGTGGTGGTCATTTTTGGCATCTTCCTATTGTGTAGGTTGCCCACATGCATAGCTGTCAATTGCTCATGTTTCCTGTTTCCCTAGAGGCAGTACCATGTGCGGGCTTATTTTCTATATATATTTTGACCATACTGTTATCTGTGGGCTATCCCCCGTGTGTTGTAATTAAAGTATACTCAATAAGTGGAACACGACGGCACCATGGTTCCCATTTCACATTCCTTCCTTTTCTTCCCACTTCTCACTTCCTCTAAAACTCGTCATCCTTCCTTTTCAAAGACTATGCCGTAAGGTTCGGCCTTCTAACACTTTTAATCATATCATATCATATCCAAGCATAATGTCATGTGCAAGTACTGATGTTCATGATTCCAATAAATCTTATTTTCTGTGCACTGGATGTGTGACATTATATTTTTTCATATGTACTCTGAGTAAGGATTCTCATTCTGCAGAATTTATGCAGTCTTGACAGGACACCCTGTATAAACTAGATGTAAAATTTTTGATTTTCAAAAAAATGGGACAAAAGTGCAAACTTTACTAAAACAATGAAACAGTCTGGTCAGAGCAAAAAAAAGAAAAAAAAATGGTACTTTTCCATTTCAAATAATGTCTAATCAGCTTACCTTCTTCTCTATACTCAAATGCTATATAGCAGATTTTGCTAAGAAATGGAAAAATGTGAGCATATCAGAATTATTTGACATGAAACCAAAAGGAGATCCCTAATTCATCTGAAATTATTTTGATTATTAATTTTTTGGCTACTCTCACCAAAACATCCAATTTCATGTTTAGTCAGTAATTTGGAGTTTAACTCTACTTTGCTGTATTTTAAATTACCAATTATTTGACATTAATAGATTTAATAGATTATTTGACATGCTAAAATAACTTAAAGAAAAAATTAAGGAAATACTTGATTTTGCATTAAGCAAATAAATAAATTGTTTTAAAAGATGTAAAAAGTATTTAGAGTTTAGTTTTCCTTAACTGTCTAGAAATAATGACATATTTATCGATACATAGCCAAACGATTGCCTTAAATACTCAGGCTATAAATCTGCTAATTTTAATAATTAATACCAAGTAATTTACTATTAATTATTAAAATTACTTGGTATTAATTACCGTAATAATTATGGTGGCACCATGGCACCCCCAGCTAGCACCATGATTAGCCATGTAAGTTTATATCTAAATTTAAATACATCTAATAATGAAGACTTGCTCAGGGTCTAGGTAGTGCAACTGGCAAGTGCACCATACAACAAGCAGAGGTTGTGGGTTCAAGACCCACCCAGGCCAGTTTTTTCCTTCCAGATGATTCTAAGATATTTAATAAATTTTTAAAATTATAATTATTAATTTAGATAAGAGATGGCACCTCTAGTAGCAAATTACTTGTTATTAATTATTAAAATTAGCAGATTTATAGCCAGAGTATTTAAAGCAATCATTTGGCTATATATATATATATATATATATACACATAGCCAAATGATTGCTATATATATATAGCTTCAGGTTGTTTAATATACTGACATATTTATCATTGCATCTCTCTTATGCTTTGATCTTTTACATAGATACTGTATGTACATCTAATCTTATGTACTGTATTAATATGTTTTAAATATTGATATATTTAAAAAATTTATTATATTTATTATTTTTAATATATCTTCCTGTAGGGTTATGGAATATGTTATTTTACAAATGGTGATGTATTTGAAGGCCAATGGAAATATGGTAAAATGTGTGGCTGGGGAAGAATGATTTATCATGATGGAAGTATTTATGAAGGAGACTGGCAAAATGGTACACGTAATGGATTAGGAACATTTAATTCAGGTAATTCAAGAATTCAGGTAACAGTGAATCACCTTGGAAGATGCTTTTTTGATGTTAACTTGCCCATATGTTTCATTTCTGATCATTAGTTCTGTCTTTCATTTCTTCATTGCATTTTCTGTGAATGTTCTGATGTTACTATAATACGCTTCTTGTTTAGTTTAAAATGTATTGGTGAGCTCTATAATGACCTGTTTATTTCTAGAATCACTTTGGAATGTTCTGATGCTTTTATCTATTTTGATGGTCCACAAACATTTAATGATCAAACTGTATAGTAGAGTCGAATGCCTTTTCTAGTCAATGCAGACCACGTGCAGGTTTTTTTTTTTTCAATTTGTACAGTTCTTGAAAATCATTGTTTTGATCAGAAGTTTATTTTTTTATACTTCTGCTTTTCCTTTTTGTTTCATTTTTGCTCCAGTGGGAGGATATTACTTGCTTCAAAATAATCCTGACTGTTATCAACTATTATGCCAGTGAGCAATTTGAACATAGTAGGCAAGTATATTATTGGCTGGTATTTTGGTGTGGTTGTTCTTTTCATTGGATCTTTTTGTATGAGACAAAATAGATGAATGGTTAACAACAGGCAAACTTGTCTCTGTGCAGTGCTTGATTGAATTGTTTGGCCATCAGTGGATATAAGCTAGTCAGATATTTTAGCGAGAAGTCATGTACTTGATCATTACTAGGAGATGTCCAGTTTTTTACTCTTTTTGTTCAGTTTTTAACCATTTCTGTTATCTCCTGTTCAAATTCTTTTATCCAGCTTGCATCATGATTGTAATTTTTACATTTTGTAAACCCTTGCTTTTTTGTTTTTACCCATTAACCATATGGAGACTGAGGACTTTGTCAACTGTTTGGCTGGAATGTGGTCAGTTGCAATGCAATCATCCCATGCCAGCGAATGTGACACAGAATGAAACACAGACTAAGACTTTATTAACACACATGATATATTACATTCAAGAACAAACAGTTGACAAAGTCCTCAGTCTCCATATGGTCAATGGGTAAAAACAAAAAAGCAAGGGTTTACAAAATGTAAAAATTACGATCATGATGCAAGCTGGATAAAAGAATTTGAACAGGAGATAACAGAAATGGTTTAAAACTGAACAAAAAGAGTCAAAAACTGGACATCTCCTAGTAATGATCAAGTACATGACTTCTCACTAAATATCTGACTAGCTTATATCCAGTGATGGCCAAACAATTCAATCAAGCACTGCACAGAGACAAGTTTGCCTGTTGTTAACCATTCATCTGACCACATTCGCTGAACACATTCAGCGAATGTGGTCAGTTACAATGGTTTCAGCATCATCCCATGGAATGCTAATCTTTAGATCTTCTTTATATATAGAGCACCATGTTTGTGGTCTACCTTGTTTCCTTTTACTACTGTGTGATTTCCATTTTAAGGCTACTTTTGGTAAGCATTCCTCTGGCATACAAAGAACTTTACATGTCCTGCAAAATGCCTTCTACACTCTGTAACATGTCCTGTAGTTTGTGTAGGACACTTCTGAGGACTTTCTCATTTGTGATATGGTTAAGATATGTAATTCTGAGTATCCTTTGAAGACAGCATTGATGAAATATGTTGTGTTTCTGAGTAATCTTTCTGTCTTTCCATGTTTCACAGGAGTAAATTGTAGTTGGAATGACAATGGTGTTATAGAGGTGTATCTTAAGTACTGTACTGATTGTTCATGTCAATCAGATTGAGCAGTCTTTGAAAGACAGCTGATGCTTTACCAAGTCGACATTTTATATCAGCTTCAACACCTCCATCTGGTGATAACATACTACCAAGGTAGCAGAACTTCTCCACTTCATTCATTGTTTGTGATTTTTATTTTTGATTGATTATTTATGGATATTATTTTTGTTTATTACTGGTGATCTGCAATCCCATTCTTCCAGCCTTCTGTTCAAGGCTTGTGGTCATACTCTGCATCTTTGGGCATGTTTCTGATATCAATGCAATGTCATCAGCAAAGTTCAAGTCTGTGAGTTGCATCTATCCTCTCCATGGAATTTCATGTTAATAAAGTGTTTGTGATGGTTGAGATCCTCATTAATTTTCAAACACATTGATTTTCATTATTGTCCTATTTTTACACAGCAATATTTTAATATAAAATATATATTTATCATATCAACATTTTCATTGTGGTCTACTCAATATTTAAAACACAATTAGTATAAAATTTGTCCACCAATGTTTAATTAATTAAATGGATAAGATCCATTAAACACTGCAGCTGGCCATGGATTTGTACCTGACCAGTAGACTGTTTTATTCGTGTACCTAACACTTAAATAGAGGTAATTTTTTGATAGAAATTCTCTTCAGAGATACCATCCCCTTAGGTTAGATATTTCGAAATAAGGCAATACCCTCATGCTGTATTGCCTTGTCCCATCAAAGAAGCAGTCATATACAATTCCTATTAAGGGTGCTACATAATCTTAAGTTTAGCAAATTTAATAAATATGAGTGGTAGATCATTAAAAGATAAAGATTTGTTATTAAGGAAATTGCAGTTTGGAATATTTAATATCATTCTAAAATCATAGATTGATAGGTAAATAGGTTTATTATAGAGTTTTAATGACATTTGGAGAAAGTGGGGTTATTCAAGTGAACTGGGAACAATTTACAATTTACAATTTTTCACACAAATAATGGAAAACACTTCCTGATATATGATAACAGCCATAACAACAATACTGAAACACAATTTCTTATTTTGAAAATATTTATTGATTGATAGAATTATACTAAAATTCTAAATTTATACTAGAAATTATTTATATTGTGGCATAAAAAAATTTTCTTTCAGGAAATAATTATATATATAATGGATCCTGGAAAAATAATTTGAAGGATGGATCTGGAGAACTAAAATTAAAGGATAAAGGAATAAATATTGATGGATTTTGGATGGAAGGATGTTTACGGTGTGGTCTGGTACAAGACGATAAAGATAAATGTTTAACTCCATATCATCCACTACCACTGGTAATATATTTTTATTACACAAATTTAAATTATTCTGATGTATCATATATAAAATAAAATATTCTCAACAAATTAATAATTAAATAAAAATATCTAATCAAATTATTAATAGAATAAATAAACAGTGTTCAATTTTTCTCAATATTTAGAAACAAAAACTATACTATATTTTGTTCACTTAATTCTTTTATTCAAATTTTTGTAATAAAAAAAATTGAAGGGTCAACAAAAATTTGTATTGTACAGCATTTATAAGCATACAGAGAACATTTTAATTCAAAGTCTTGCACACACAGTCTCCACAATTCCTAATTTAGGCTATTATTAATTTAAATATTGAGAAAAATGAAGAATTTCAATATAATTACAATTTAACTAAACATTTTGTGTGTTTTTCCTAATTTGTTCCCAAAATTAACATTTTGGGATTTTCTATTTAATAGTATGCAGAGAATAATAAAAACTATAAACTGATTAAAAAATTACAAGTACTGTATGTTGGTATCATGTAATTATCATGTATTATACAGTGGGTGATTGGTTAATGAACATAATCCATTCCATGACCATGCTCTGTATTTGAATTGTGTTAACTGACTATCGACTTATCAAATTACCATAAAAATCTATGGTAATTTGATTAATTCGTTCTGGAGACCCCAAAAAATAAATAAACACCCATGAAAACACGAAGCAATTGTTATTACATGTAAATAAATGTAGTAAGAAAGTATAGAATTTTTTGTTCTTTGTTTCTCAGATGCAATTTTCGTTACTCCTTTATCTGCTTGTCTATTTGATTATATGTTTCTTAGCTAAGATTGTATCTACAGTCGACCCCCCTATAATTACGGTCCCTATAGTTACGATTCCTATAAAACTACGAAAAAATTGCTATCGGTATTCGTAAAAAATAGTAAAAGTTCCCTATAAACACCTCAAACGTCATCGGGAAGCCGAACTACTTTCCCGCCGTCCATAGCGCCACGCTACGGAGAGATTTCTATCGTCTGGACAGTATTATATAAATTATATATAAATTAGATACTGTACATATAATTATATATTAATTATATATAAATTAGGTACTGTATATATAATTATATATTAACTTATTGTAACTTTGTTATAATTAAATATATAATTTCCGCCGTCTAGCGTGGCGCCACGCTACGGAGATTTTTACGCTAACTATCGTCTGTCAGTATGTAAATTAGGTACCGTAAGTCTAATACAGTACTGTAATTTTATACATTTCTTGTGAAAGAAACATTTCTTATTCAACGGCGATTAAAATTATTTATATTAATGATGTCTCCGAAGTTCTACGAAGTTTTCACAGAAAAATAAGTTGTTAGAAATCGGCCGCTCTTTGCTGAGCTGTTCCGCGACGAAAACAATGTTGAGCAATGGCAATGTCGAATGGTGACACTCGGTAAGTAATCCTACAATTTTTTGTTTATAGCGTAGTTTATACGGATTATTCCCAAAAAATATATACGTATTTTGGAAATGTTGAGTCGGATTAGTCTAGAATCGATTAATTTTATGGAAGAAAATCTTTCAAACAGCCGTAGTCCGTAAACTTGATACGTGTCGGGTTGTGATTGGAAGGATTCGTAAGAAAGCGGATTCCTAGAGAATGGAACGTATCTCTATCTTATAGGGGGGTCGACTGTACTGTAGACCTGTTGAAGTCATCTTCCTACAATATCAGGCATCTTTTGCTCACTCTTTACCTTGGCTGTTATGTCTTCTTTAGTTTCAATAGTGAACATAGTTGTTAATATCTTAAGCAATTATATAATATTCTTTATCTGTACAACACATTATGTTCTATATATTCTAAAAGAGGTGTACAAAAATTTTTGACACTCCACTATTTTTAGGACCATAATATTGTCAGTTTTTTAAATAAAAAGTTCAGAAAAGCACAAAAATTCAGCAAACAGAAATTAACTAGTGCAAAAGGTTATGTATACAACTGTGAAAGTCTCATTCCATAAACCATGTATAGATGTCATTAAAATGTAGTTTTACAAATCTTAAACACAGCTTCACTTCTTGTGTTTGTTTATCAAGTGTTCATTATCCAAACATAATGAACACTTTCAAGAAAGATTTTTGTCTGAACCGTTCGTTAACTGATCACCCACTGTATTTCAAAACTAGATATACTTCAATGCAAGAACTAGTACTAAGAAGTATTTGTGTACATATTTAATTTGCACTTTTTTTTGTTGTTTTATTTTACAATTTAATCATGTAGCAATTTGATGCTTTGATTATACAGACATCAGAATCTTTTGACTCAAGAAATTTTAAAATTGGAACCTAAAATGTTTATTTCCACATAACACTATTGTTGGTTGGTAGTTACTATAATAACCAGGGCTTGAGGTTGGTAACAAAGCTCCTGACTTATGATTGGACCTTATAGAATTTTATGACTCAAAATTTACTTTGGAGACAATATAATTAAATTCCTAACTCAGAATGGCTTTTCAACACTACAAAGTGAATCGTCAAGCATTCCTATGAAAACTGAAAGTACTTAGTGATAATGAAAAATTGAAAAAAGCATATTCAACCACACACACAAAACATTTTGTGTCACTCTATGGTTTAGTAAAGTATTTATTTAAAAACATGAATTAAGCCATTGTATGAATCTTTTGACAATAAAAATTTAGGATTAACTAACACAGTGTGTTAGTTACTTGAATACTTAGGATTATAAGCTATACTTATTTTTCTTTGCATACCATTAATTACCATTGATTTTCTTTTCATAAATTTATTTTTGAATACTGTGTTACTTGAATACTTAGGATTAGCTAACACAGTGTGTTAGCTAATCCTAAGTATTCAAGTAACACAGTATTCAAAAATAAATTTATGAAAAGAAAATCAATGGTAATTAATGGTATGCAAAGAAAAATCATAAAATAAGATTATGTTGCATTACAGAGACTTCTGTAATGCAACATAAGAGGTTAATGTTCCTACTAGGAGCTTAATATAAAGCACAATAAGAAAAGAGTAGAACTTGACCAACTTCTTAGTTTTCGTTAATAGAAGAGAAACTATTATGAGTCAAAAATTAAATAGTAAATTGGTTAACATTTAAAGTTTCAGAAATTTTTAAAGTGAGAATTTTGTTACTGATGTGAACACCTTACTAATAATTTCAAAAATTATTTGAAGGACACTATAAGCTATACTTATTTTTCTCTTATTGTATGTATAGTATACTGAAATATCCTCTAATGTAGTTTGTATACATCATTCAGAACATGCATTTAACAGATCATAATGTAACATTGGATGTTACATTGTGTATTTTCTCAGTAGTTTAATTTGTAAGTTAAAATAATAATTTGAAGCTGGTTCTTATCATTAATACATAATTTTAAAATCTTTATTGATAATTACATCAGTTATACATTTAAATAAGCAATGTGTACAATTACAGAAACATTAACTTTTGAGAAGCTTTAAAAATAATACCAATACATTTTAAATTCATTACAAATGACCTTTCAATGATTATTTGAGAAATTCAAGATTAATTATATTTATTTTAAAATATTAATTTAAATAAGATAATGTTTTATTTTATAAAATTTTCTATTAAATATAAATGCTATTGATATTACTTGTTTAATTAATGGTAACATATCTTTCTAAACATTATTATAGCTAGAGTTGGCCGACATAGACGAAGTGCTGAAAAATGCAAAACAAGATGTTATATTAAGATACGGAACAATATTTGACAACACAAAGACAGACATAATTGCACCTGTGGAAACTACTTTAAAGGAAGAAGAAGAAATAATAATAGAAAAAGTAGAAGAAAGTTTAAGTGAAATTTTTGAAGAATGTATGTTTGAAATAAAAGAAAGTTTAGTTTATCAGGAAGATAGCAAAGAAGACACAACAGAGAGTGATGAAATCAAAAGTTCAGATCATTCATTAAGTACTTCATCAGACTTCTCATATTGATATATATTTGTAACCTGAAAATGTGTTAAAATCTATTCTCACAAAAGTAAACTATAAAAATTCTAATTTATTTAAATAGTAGTATTGTACATTTATACAGAATAAATTTAAATTTATATGAAGAAGTTTTAGCCAATAGTCTGTATTTCATAAAACTCAAAATAAATTTCAATAAAATAGCTTGAAACTTCTAAAATTACATTTTAATAGGTATCATAAATTACAGTTGTTTTAAGTTTTTGAAACAGTATTTTATAAAAATATTTGCCAGCATTTATGAAATTATATTCTCTCGAAGCAGTTAGTGGTAATTTAATAATCAGGAAAACAATACAGAGAAAAATAGTCTATGTACAAATGCCAATACAAAACACAAAAGTTACCATAGACTACATATAAAATTAAATCAATTATAACTGTTACTTCTCTGGTTTTAAAATTCTTAATTAACAAATTAATTTCTAAATTTTCTTAACGAAAGAATAGAGATTAAAAACCCTTTTCAACAGCCATGATCAAGCATTATTGTTAATATGTTAAACAATATTCTTTATCTGTACAACACATTATGTTCTATACATTCTAATAGAGGTGTACCAGAATTTTTGCCTAAGCCTTATCTTTTAAAACATTGATTTCCCAAATGCCTTTTGGACAAGAAATAATCTCTGGATACATGTTTAAAATGTTCGTCACAATTAAAGAGAATGGGTTTCTATTATTCAAGTTTAGTTTCTATCATTTTCTTTATTGAATTGAACCAGATTGGCCAACAATTCTTCATGTTTAGAAAGAATTATCCACTATGAGTGTAGGATGTCTGTAAGAAAATTAAAGTATAGGGAACTGGAAAGTTTTAAAAACAACTACTGATGTTTGATTATCATGGGAGTTGTTATAAAGATTTTTGGCTCTGGCTTTAGAAAGTTTTTGAAAAAATTTCTAAAGTTAATGTTGAATTTATTTTTAATGATAAATGCCTACATAGGACCAATATTTTAAAGATTGAAAAGCTTTGTACAAAGAAATGTACAAAGGACGCTATACTGATCAGTTTAACAAAACCAATCTTCAGAACAAATCAATTATTTGTCACTATTTATTTACTTAGTATTGAACAATAGTAATTCTTCAATTTTATACTCAGTAGATTTGTATAAGACTTGCATGGAATAACATGTTCAACCATTATCTTACAGAAATTCCTTTCTGATATTAACAAATATTTATCAGTGTAAGAAAATTTTAATAGCAACATCCATTCAATTTGATGATAGTTTAAAAATTGGTTCAAGAATTTCATAAATTATTAATTTAATTTCTGTACTGAAAAGCCAAAAGTATCACATTTACTTATTGATATTTTACCTATGCTCAAAAATTTTGACTGGTTATAATAGGAAGTGATAAATTTAAAAAAAAACAAAAAAAATTCAGAAATTTTGCATATTATGTTATATCAAAATGATGATTAAGTACTGTACATGTAGTGATTTAATAACTCTCAGAACAGTGTTTAAGAATTGCACATTATTCCAAAATCAAAGTTTTAATGATATTTAGCTCTTGCTATGGTAATGTTTTAAATGATGATCATCATTACTTTTCATAAATCAATTCCATCAATTTTTAAAATCAAAATCATTTATTATTAAATAAAAGTTGAAAATAAATTCTGTTAGAAAATGTATAAAATATTTATCACACTTATATTTCTAATATCAGATATAGTCATGATTATTTGCAGACTAATCCAAAATCAAAATTCATACAATTATCTGTGTAATAAGTGATCTTGTCATTTCCATCATTTTGTAACAAATACCTGCAGAGTTCATATTATTCAGAAAGTTGTACAAAATCTTATTAAACTTTACTCAGAAAAATGGTGGGAAAGAAGTTTAAATATGGATGATTATTAATTTGGCAAATCCTAAAATCTGGAAAAACAATTTATAACTTATCTTAAAATTAACAGTTTTATTGCTCAAAAATATTTTACATCCTTAAATATATATTTTACAATACAATAAATACAATAATACTATTATTGCATCAATTGTACCAGAAATTATTTATATGAATACAAATTAAGCATCTCATAAATGGCATTTTTTTTATAACACTCCAATATATAACAGTATAAAGTATTGAAAATATCTTCAGAAAATACAATTTTATATAAATGCATTATGCATTATTTAATAAACATTTTGTTATAAGTATAAATATACGGGAGATTTCAATATAATATAATAGGGATATAAGTACATGTTTTTGTATTCCAGTCTTTGGAATAGTAGACTGCAGCCTCACACATTTACATTGTGCCAGGGAAACTCATTACTATAAACTACAAATGATAAAAATAGTGTAAGCAAAAAATAACTATGAGCATTACTGTAGCTAAAACAGTATGTTACTACTAAAAATATAATATACTCAGAATGAAAATATTTAATAAATCTATAATTTTGATGAAAAAAAACCACTTGTGCTTCGTTAATTAATAAAAATATCACGGTTCCATTGTAATGGTATAACAAGTTCACACATTTATCACATGTGATCCATTCAGAGGCAAGTTTGTTCCATCATAATGGAGTTGGTTGACCATACTTTCCAATTCCTGCAAGCCGTGAGCAGACTGTTCATACTTGTGAGCGACCAATTTTCTATAAAAATGAAAAGCAAATGCTAAGAAGGTGATGACCATGGGAATCAATAATATGGTTGCGGCCAATGCAGCCTCCCTCGAATAATCGTAGAACTTCACCCAACACAGTATGGCTATTTCTAGAAGGAAGAGTAGAATACCAAAAACGGTTGAAAAGGCCCAAGCCAGTTCAATATAATAGTGCATCTTTTCGTGTGGAGATTCCGAAACGGCAGCAAAGCTGTGAACGCTGGCCACCGCCTCCACGTTGGGCAAGATGCACGTAGAAATCATAAGTGCCAACATGTGCACGGCAACTAATAAAGTTGTACACACGCTAAATGCAATTAACAGTTCACGTGGCATCCTTTGGCTGAGTTGAACTTCTACCATTGCCACCTGAAAAGAAAAATATTTTAATTTTAACAAACAAATGTACAGTATATTAAAATAATTCAGCTTTCAAATTAATATAAATGTAATTTACTTATATAATTTCAAGTATTTTTTAAAAATTTTAATTAGCAAACAAAGAAAATTCCAAGATGTAAGCAGATAATTATTTAACAGTTCCTGACTTAATCCTGTAGATCAGTGTTATCCCAACAGCTCTGCAGAGTACTGATGCTCCATGAAGAAATGCATAGTACTTTACAAACCAATGCCCATTAGAAAGTTTTTGTAAAATTGTTCTCTTAGTTTATATACTTTTCATTAATATAGACAGAGGCTTACCTAATTATATACCTATACACATACATGCATATATTGTTGCTCTACAAAAGTCAGAAAACACAAAGTGCTCTGTCAACAACATGCTCAACGAAGCATACAATAATTAGTTTCCATTTCAATTTTGGAGAAAATTCAGAATATTCTCTTGGGTGCAATGCACCTAATAGAAAACTAAAATAAACACCCTCAAATTTATACATCACAAAAACTTACATTTTATTAATAAAGTTTAAAGTATACTTTACAATTTGGCTTTTTACTTTACATACAAGTTATTTTAAAACTTTTTATTTTAAAACTATTTATTAATCAATTTCTGAGCTGTAATACCCGACATGGTTGGGTATTACAGCTCAATGGTATGGTATTAGTATTCATAATTTCACCTGAAGATTTACATAATTATAATGTGACTATTGTTCTATTTGAAGTTTCTACACCTCTGCAATCTGTGCAACCAATTCCCACACAGTATGCATAGGAACCATATTTCATTATTTCTGTGAAATTTCCCAGATAGAACAGGTTTCTTCCAATATCTTCTTGAATGCAATCATCTTGGTCTTCATCATCATATTGTGATTCATCAATCTCTTCTGTGCTGCTGTTAAATAATCTTTTTAGTTATCTTACATTTTTGAGGTTTGCATTTTGAATTTTTGTCTGGGTGAGACAAATTTGTGCTTTACTGGATAGTTAAAATTTGTGAGATTTTTATTATGTCTACTCAATTTTTGCTGTATATTATTGTTTGAAGTACAAGGAACAAATGAATTATCAGTTGTACTGAACTTGATTTGATTTGTCCCGAGTTAACTCGGGCATATTACATAGCGTTACGAAAAATTCGGTAGTTAAGGCCACTTTTGACAATTTTTTTTTTGAATTTTTGGAATGCTTTTTAAGTCCCCAAATTTTTTCAAAATCTTTTGCCCGCGCGAAAAAATTTTATCGCGATTTTAATGAGCCTTTGATAAGTCTCGATTAAGGCTTAATTGTTTTTTAATGGGAGTTTTTTTTATCAAATTTATTTCATGGTTCCTAAGTTGTAGTGCACGGATTTGACTTCGTTAAAGTTATTTAAAGCTGCTTTCTAATGTCAAAAACGACCGCCAATAGTTTTTAAATTTTTTAAATTAATATAATTAATTTTATATAAATTTAATTAATTAGGGGGGTCGGAAATCGCAATAAAATTTTTAATTTTTTAAAAATATNACTATTTTTCGAAAATCTAATGCCAATTTCTCCATATCCTGGATATAACCAAAACCATCATACTCACTATTTTGCTGTATCGATCTATCACTAGTCAAACTCTGGCCCAATCCCCCAGACGATGAAACAAAACGGGAGCCAGGCAACTCCCCCCTCCCCTTGCACTTGTAAACGTTTATTAATATCTGAGCTATCCATATTTAATATTTAATTAAAGGACCCCTAAACCCCCCAGACCCAGGTGAAAAACCTGACCCTTCCGCCACGGCATGGACCCGACCATGCCAAGAGACCTAAGAGAGGGCCAAAGGCAGGCCCCGTGGCCTCGGCAGAGGACCCCACTTCCTGCCAGAGGGTCCTGACCAGAGCGCCACCCTGCACTCTGACAGGGGGCAAGATTTTTCAGTACCTGACCGGGGCAGCCAGTAAGACACGGCTATGCCCCCCGGGGCCCTAACTACGTACTGCCCCAGGTGTGCAACCCCCGGTTTTTAAGCTATACCCTCGGGGACTGCCTTCAGTCCTCTCGCCCCGAGGTCGCAACCAAGCACATGCCGTAGCATCCAGGCCCGGCCAACACCTGAGCCCTCCCGCCGCACCATTAGCTTCCCCATGACACACGCCAGCACAGCATAGCTGAAAGGCAAAAAGTGCGCCTGGGTACTGAGTCCCTGTGCCACGTCAAGGCTGGTACGTACGAGTTGGGGCGGCGCTAAATAAGCACCAAACCCCCATTTGGAGAGGACAATGTGTATACAGTAGACCCCCCCTATAACACTGTAGATAATTTTGTGTTATATGAATTCCATGAGGCGGCGCTGTATCAATGTGAAGTGAAGTGGAATTTTTCAGCTCTTGGATTTTTAAGTTCTTTTGATGAATTTTAATTATATGTACTAAGTGTTATATATTTTATGAAAGCGTTTTTCTTGGGGACCAAGAATTCGTCTTTATTAAATTCGGACGCTCCATTACAAAGTAACATTTTGTTTACTTTTCGGGTTCGATTTTCCGAACGTAAACCGATTAACCGGAATTTTTGGGGTTCTGGGTTGTCCGCAATGCTAATGTGAGTACATCTTCCAATTTTTGGGGTTCTGGGTCCAGTACTTTAGAAGATATCAACTACTTCCGGTGGACATTCTGAAACCTAACATTCTGAATTAATTAAATAAATATCTTATTTCTTCTTTGTTCGATATGGAATCGGAGAGAAAATTATTTCATGATTCTTGATGAAATAAAGAATTATTCACAGTGTAACCCTAGGGGTAGACTTGGGGTGGAGTGCCATTTGACTTATATCTTGACACAGTTTAACAGAGTGACTGAACACGCTGAAGCGGTCTTTGAGAAACAAAGATTGTTTGAAAGCTTGGATCAAAGATTTTCTGTTATACTAACTATTAAAGGAGGACATTAAAGAGATTCGGGGTTCCCAGGATAAAGAATCAATTACTATTTTGAAAGATATTCTTCAGAAAGTGAATAATTTCGGAAAGCAACCATCTGACGTACACACAATTGAAAGAAATACTACTTATCCTAGTTAGAGATGCATTAAAACAAGGTAATATATTGTCTAATATTGTTAAAGCTCCGCCTGAATTAGCACATACAGTCTTAGTGTACAGCAATGATGAGAATTCAACATTTGACTAGACAAAAAACAATTTACTTCAAAATGTAGAGCGTAGAATATTGGAGTTAGAATAAAACGTGTTAGAAAAATAAATAATGGTGGAGTTGCTGTTGATTTAAGTTATCAAAAGGGTGCTGCGCACTTCAAAGAGTTTGTAGACAGAGTCCCAGGATTAACATCCCACATGCCTAAAAAGAGATTGCCTTTAATCAAAATAGTGTCCGTTCCTTCAAAACAAAAAACTGATGAATATGTTTCCTGGGTGATAGAAGTGTCTTCTGATATAAGAAAAAGAATTCTTAAAGGAAAGAAAGTTCATATAAGGTGGTCAACCTATAGTGCATATGATTATATTCCAATACTGCAATGTTTTCGATGTTTGTCGTTTGGACACATAGCTAGAAATTGCCCTACATCTGAGAACATATGTAGCCATTGTTATGAAAACCACTTGTTTAAAGACTGTACCAAAAAGACATGAAACACCAAAATGTGCAAATTGCCTGAGGAAAAACAAAAAAGAACATAATCACAATACAATGGACAAAATGTGTTCTACATATCTTGAAGAAAGGATAAAATACTTAAATAGAATTGACCTTACATAACACTATTGTTTGATTACAAATTGAAGAATGCGAGATAACTTTGATAGTATAGAATTTATATATTCAGTGAGGTATTTCCTCAGGTTACACCGATGTGTTTTAATGTTTGTCTTGTATTTAATTTTATGTATTGCATTTCTTGTATACACTGTGTTGTAATATTTTGAATTTTATTATTTGTAACTTAATTTATTTTACCAATTCTTCGATGTATTCAAAACATAACTTTTGTAATTTTTTCAACAATTTTAATCAGGTTGTGCTTATTGGGGTACCTGAATATGTAATTTTAATATTACGTTAATAAACCAGATGGATGACGATGATGATGATGATATGAATTCCATGTTGTACGAGTCACTTAGATTTTACAAATATGAAAGCCGTTCACAGTCTGGCACACGTATTTGTAAAATCTAAGTGACTCGTACAACATGGAATTCATATAACACGGAATTATCTACAGTGTTATAGGGGGGTCTACTGTATTTTATATTTTGTATATTTTATTATGAGAAATCGTTTACAGCGGAATAAAGCATATTATTTATAAAAGTGTGTTTGGTATCAATGTTTATTAACCTTTAATATGTTTTATAGAAATTTTTAACAGAAGTTTGTGTTGTGTTAATAAATTGTATTTTCTTGTTCATAAAATATATGTTTTGCGAATAATATTTTAATTAGTAGGCACTCATTGATTCGACTTCCTAGTGTTGTTTATGACTGTATTGGAGATTTTATAAGTAGGTCATCAAACACACAATCTTCTCTTTCTCTCACTTTCTTTCTTATTAATATGGAGACTCTAGCCTATTGGCTTTTTCTCCGAATCAGTCCACTTTGAATTTAGGTAAAGCGGTTGGTGCGGTGAACAAAACGCTCCAAGATTTCGATATGTTGGCGAGGAGGAAGGTCGGTATGAGGCCAGTATATCGGAGTTAANAATATGTCAAAATAGGAGAAAGCTTAAGTAACAGCACATGTAAATAAACTGTTGAACCTAAAACAAACAGTACATTCTTAATCATTAAAGAAAATAATACAATAATAAATTTACACGTAAATTATATGATTAACGTTATACAATCTTATTTATTGCAACGACTTAAACTGTTATGGCACTTTGAATTGAACAAGAGTCCCTTGCTTTTACAACTGCATTTATTCGTGGAACACTTTTTTTTGCAATGATAGTGTGTATAGCTTTGTCCTCCACTTTTCGAATTAGCTGCAGCTGCTTCTCTCAGCAATATTTCTTGAGAAGAAATCTCATCTATGGAAAGTAACTTCTCTTTACAAATTACGAACTTATTACATTATTACGTGATTACGAACTTATCTGTTAATAGTGTATTTTATTCGGATATCGCCTACGCCTTACCGACGACCCCTCTCATCTTCCGTCAGTCGACCTGACAAACCGATCCTCATCTCACGGGATCAAAAGAACAAAATTGCCATCCAGTGACAAAGTGGTTTCCACCAAACCGTTGCCAGGAAAAGAGGTACGACCATGTCCTACCTCCGGCTATTTACAATGTATTTGGCGATAGACTGTCGCCTCTCTGTCGACATTGGCTTCTCGGGTGTCGTTTCGACCTCTGCCAAAGCTTATCTGTGCTTGTCGACATACACCGGCGATTGTTTGAATGTATAATAATATAACCAAATATTCGGACTTTCACCTACCTATTTTGTATGAATCGACATTCACCGGAGAATATCGACATTTTCTAATTTCGGTCTTTCACGGTAACATATATATATCATTCTGAGATAGAAGTGATAGCTGGTTGAATGCCATAGTGGGAGTGTGATGCTGAATCGTGTCCAGCTGGCACTATAAATAAATAACCTATTATGGTTATGTCTAAATTAATTGGCTCTGGAAGCAGGGATCAAACGAAGGTTCAGGAAGTGTAACTGACAGTGTTACTAAACAGTAAGCAGGAGTTGTGGGTTCGAGCGTCCACTTACAGCCAATTCTTTTCTTCCAGAATCGTATAATTAAATTAATTCTAAATTAATTATTAAATTAAATTTAGCAAGATATGGCACCTAACCTCTAGTGCCAAATAGACCATTTAATTAGTAATAGTAATAGAAATGTAGCCTATACTAAATATTTTATATAATCAGTAGCTATAAAAAGCTACTAAAACCAAATTAGATAACATCTCTCATAATTTGAAATAATGCATTTCAGTGCTCCCTAACATTAGACATGGGTATTTGCTTACTATCCTTGTGCCTCAAATTGGTATCATCTCCATTTTAATTAAAATGCTTAGTTCAATTTTTTCAACATTAAATGTATTTTCAAATAACATAGCTTTCAATGCATTTTTGGGCTGCAATTTTCAAAAATTGTAGAATAAATATCCATTGGCATCCATCTGTTTGTCTACCTTTCCTTCGTTAATCTTGAGAATGGAGTTAGAGAGATGAAACTCGAGACCAGATATGGAAAGCGTGGAAGCGGGAAGGCCCCAATTAACTATATATGAACTTCCAGTTAGGACCAGAAGTCACGTTATTTCAATTTAAAACTTTTTCCTGAACGGAGTTAGATAGATGATCGGCATGACTGCATTGTTAACAGGAAAGTGTGAGGTACAGGGAAAAATCATTCTATAATTGAAAGCATTGCGTGGAAAATTGCAGCCCGCCATTGTGATGATGCCGCAATAAATAATTTCTCGTTCTATCCGGCATAAGCTGTGTAAATTTTCTTTGAATCTAGTTAAGTAACAGGCAATTATAGAAATAATTAAGAGAGAGGTTGCAGCCGACGTTTTCATTGCGAAAACGTGTACATTGGACGTTCAGCGCCGCCTTCCTGTAAGCCTAGTAGTTTGACAATGGCGTTTGGAATGTCGAGCATGATTCCACTAACTTTCCGAACACCATTGTCAAACTTCCAGGCTTACAGGAAGGCGGCGCTTAACGTTTGACGAACATGTTTTCGCGATGAAAACGTCGGCTGCAACTTCTCTAATCTTTTAGCAGTTATGTTTTACAGGAATATAAAGTTTTTAATTTTTTTTAATTTCAGAAAATATAAGATGTATAAAAGAAAAGAATATTGATACGGATTTTGGAGAAGGCTCTTCCAAACAGGATTTTATGATGAGATTGAATATTTAAAATGAGGAAACAAAAGCGTGTGATTCGTAAGATAAGATTTGCAAAAGAAAATATTTTAAAAAAATATTTATTATTGTATCCTGTTAGAATTTAAATCGGAGTCGGATTTCACAATGCATCAGACCCGATCTGTGATAAGATAACAAATATTTTGAGTGATAAACTGTGATAAAATCTGTGATAAACTATTTTGTGATAATCTGTGATAAAATTTGTCATTTTTTAATGAATTATACAGGCTGTTCCTTGAATGTCCAGAGTTTTGCGGATTAATTTTTGGAATATATAAGTATATTACTATAGAATATGATGATGATACGTCACATATCTAAATGAATGGATTTTAAAGAACAGTTTAAAACTAGGGATATTCAAGGGGAACACCCTGTATATTGCCAAAAATATATTTTATGAAAAGTTTTACAGATGTCAATATTGTAAGAACAGATAAAACTGTGATAATTGTAAGAACTGTGATANACTTTTCCTCCACCAGCATTTGCTTATGTTCTAAACCTACACGCTTGTTAGTAAGATTTCCTTTTGAGGAGAAGCGCTTATCGCAATAACAACGAGTATTTTCTAATATATCCAACGCAATATTTTCCATAACGATTTCTTAGCAACGTAGCGGGAATACTTCACAACCAATTATCGATGATAAAGTTTTAAAGCTAAAATATCGACAAAAAATTCCAAGCACACCGTAGAGCACGACGTATACGTTATATGAACCTCACGACACTAGCGGCATCTCATGGTAAAAACCAGAACTACGGCTACGGAATCGTTCTGTAATTAGACGCCAGTGAACGGCGGCGGCGGCTGTCATGGCGGCTCACCGCTGATTCCAGCAAAGAAAAGGAAACAGTGGGGACGCACGTTCTAACCTAACCTAATATATTCTAATAATATAATTGGTAATAATTATGATAATTTATCAGAATAAGTAAGGTTAGGTTAGAACGTGCGTCCCCACTGTTTCCTTTCTTGTCTTTGCTGGAATCGGCGATGAGCCGCCATGACAGTCTACGTATGTGGACTTTAACCAAAATAACATGGTTTTTTTTACTCGCCTTTGTCCGCACTCATTCGCCGACTCTGGCGCGCTTCTTCCTGTTGCTCGCCTCGCCGCTTGCTTGGTTCTTCGGCGTCGCTTCCGGGGCTACTGGAACGGTTTCTGGCTCCTTCCATTCGGGCTCGCGTCCCGCTCCTGGATACATTTTTCTTAAATGTCCACAGAAAATTGCGAAACGTTCGCCTGGCTTCAGATTGTTTCATTTCATATGCTTTTTGTACACAAAAGCGTAGAGATACGAATCGCGCAGTTCTTCAGTATAGTGACGGGGCAAATTTCTGTTCTTCAAAATCCCCCACAGCCTTTCGATGTTTTGCGTATGCACGCCATCCAACGGATTCGCAAAGTTTTTGGAATGATTTACTGTCGCGTATTTTATATCTATTCCTTTTAATTCTCCGATGTTGTTGTATCCCTTCCATTGGTCGGTATGAACCGTAGATCCGGACCGTACGAAATTCCTAACGACCCAATTCAGACTGGCTTCGGAGCGATTGTTTACAAAACACAAAAAACAGTTCTTGTCTTCTCTGCAGATACCGCCGACCACCCACTTTGTCCCTTTCAGCTTTCTTCCTCTTTCGTATTTACGCTTGCTTACGACCGTCTCGTCTATTTCCATGGTCTTTCCAGGACCGCCAATTTTCAAACTTGTCAAATTAAAAAGAGCGACCATCATCGCGTACCGAACGAAATTAGCCCAGTCGACACCGGTAGTGCGACTCACCGTGACGGCCAAACACGACGAATTCAACGAGCCGTCTATGCAAATCAGATGCCAGAGGAAACTGAAGATTGTCCGCCATGACATGTTGCCGCATTTTCCCTTGAAGGTGCCTTCGAACGCCGAACTATTTACCTTGCACTTGTAACATCGGAAAAAAACCGAACCGGTGTCTTTTCTGTAAATTATTTTACGAACGCCGCCGTCGCACTTGTTACACTTCGCCTCTACCGGTTGCAAACCAATCTTAATCGCAAATTTTATATCGGAAGGTATCCTACTGTCGATACCCAACTCGGGATATTCAGAATCCAAACGACGAAATAAATCAGTGGACGTCACAATGTCTAAATCCTCCATCTCTGCGAAAAAGCCAAAAACCGGAAAACGAAACCACCAACCCGTCGAAAATTTGAAACAACCGCACTCAGAACACGCGCAGGCGCTTGCGTCGTCACGTGACATGTGGCGCAGGCGCTCGCGTCGTCTCCAAAGCGGTCCGGTTTCGAGGCTAAAACAGGAAGAACCGCCATGACAGTTTACGACTCTGGACATTAACCCTAATTTCTTACCAGTTGACTGATGAGGGGCTATACGCCAGAAACGTGTAAAAGTGCCCGTATCAACTGAATAAAGTGGATAAACGCCAAGTGTTTAAATAATAACACAGTCTTGTGTTCAATGGTAAAAAAAATTTCTCATTAAAATCGATCATAAAACTCCGTTCCCACGAAAATACTTCCTTGTAGAAGATGAGTTAACTTTTGTGTCATAATTTGGTCACTTCGCCCACCATTGGTCAAAGAAGATCATCATCTGTGACGTACATGGGCAAATCTCGAGAAGAGAGCCCCCATATAAAAGGCAAGTGCGATGACGACACGGGGAGAAGTTATTTTTCTGTACTTTGTGTGTGTGTGTGTGTGTGTGTGTGTGGATTACGAGGATGGTGGCGACGAGTACCTCTCGTCGCCACCATCCTCGATAGAAATATTCTACAATTTGCGGACTTACGTCGACCCACGAACTATTTTAACGAGCCCGGGATTTAAACTCCAAGATCGTCCTGAAAACTCCATCCTGTATAACTAGAGGTATTTATCCTACTCGCGATGATATATACGTAGTAGATATTTTGAAATTAATAATCTATGTTATACGTTTTTTTGCATATAAATGATGTGTTAAACAGCCTCCCCCTTTACCATTTTTTTTCATATTATAGGAAATAATCATACAACTATGTAATAAAAACATTGTCAAACAAGTCTATAGTGTACCATTATATAACATGTAAGCATTTTATGTTATCATCACCTCGCATTTTTGTTAAGTCCTACTCACCAATGTCCTGAAACTCACATTATTTTTTGTAATTTTAACAGCACGGAAGAGGGGTTGCGAATACAATCCAACCCGAAATGCATCTGAATTAGAAATATTTTAAATAAAACGTAACGTTTTCTAACCAATTGCTAATTTGTACTCTGTTCCATTTTGTATCGGAAATAATACATTTTAACTAAAAATATAAGTGTTCATAGATATTTTGAAATTAATAATCTATGTTATACGTTTTTTTGCATATAAATGATGTGTTAAACAGCCTCCCCCCTTTTACCATTTTTTTCATATTATAGGAAATAATCATACAACTATGTAATAAAAACATTGTCAAACAAGTCTATGATGTACCGTTATATAACATGTAAGCATTTTATGTTATCATCACCTCGCGTTTTTTTTTATGTCCTACTTACCAATGTCGTGAAACTCGCCTTATATTTTTTGTAATTTTAACAGCACCGAAGAGGGGTTGGNAAACATTGTCAAACAAGTCTATGATGTACCGTTATATAACATGTAAGCATTTTATGTTATCATCACCTCGCGTTTTTTTTTATGTCCTACTTACCAATGTCGTGAAACTCGCCTTATATTTTTTGTAATTTTAACAGCACCGAAGAGGGGTTGGGAATACAAGCCAACCCGAAATGCATCTGAATTAGAAATATTTTAAATAAAACGTAACGTTTTCTAACCAATTGCCGTTTGATCGTCTACCAAAATTACTGTTTGGATTACAAAGACGCTACACACAGAAAAGTAATGAACACGAAGTACTAAAATTTAAAATTATCACGTTAAAAATCACTGGTAAGATCATCATCATCAAAATCTTTTTCACTAGAATGTTTTTGTATGGTTGAAGCAGATGATGGTTTCCAACTTTAACATTTATCGCTGTAAGAACTCGATTTTTGTAGTTTAGTTTTCATTAAATTTAATTGCAAAAAAATACGTTCAACTGCTGCATTTAAATGAGGAAGCAATAAAAACATCTATTTACTGTCAAAGTAAAGTAAAAAATACAGAAATATAGAATAAAAATGAATGTTTTGAAAGGAAAGGTATTAGGATTTCTTGAATGGTACTAGGAAAATGGTGTTGGGTGTCTTGGTGCTGGGACAAGTAAAAAGGTACTAGATTAGTACAAAAGTACTAGGTAAAACAACACATCGTACAAAAGTAGACGACTACTCGAGCAGTTGGATACTTTTGGGCTACTTTTTAAAAATTATTTGGCTACAAGAGCAAAAAACATCTGGCAACACTTTAAGCGATACACAGTGGAACTGTCAGTGTGTGTTCTTTGACAGAAGTTACACGTGAGTGTGATACACGTGGTCGGCGATCGCATTGTTTGGGAAAGAAATACCGAAAAGTTGCGTAGTGAATTGTCGTAATCGGAATATGATGAAAAATAAACAAGGGACTGTTCAGGTGTTTCCTGTTAAAGAAGGAAGGCCAAATACATGGGTTAATGGCATGAAAAGAATCAACGAAGAAGATTGGAAGTGGCTAATACCCAGAAAATTCACGTGTGCGTGTAGAAAACATTCTCTTACAGGTAATTTCGTAAGTTTTAATTCCTCAACATCAAGTAGAGTTAACATAAGATTCCGGATGAGGGAGCGGAAACCCCTTTTTGTTATAATTGTTGTAAGCGGAAATTGTAAACTCTTCTGGATTAAATTCCAGATCCGTATACCGTCATGGCGACTCATCTCTGATTCCAGCAAACAAAAGAAAGGAAACAGTGGAGACGCACGTTCTAACTTAACCTAACCTATTGTAATAAATTACCATAATTATTACCAACCAAATTATTTGAATAGGTTAGGTTAGAACGTGCGTTCCCACTGTTTCCTTTTGTTTGCTGGAATCAGCGATGGGGCGCCATGACAGCCGCCGACGCTGCCGCGGCGCAGCAGCCGCTGCCGTTCGCTCGCGTCATGACGTGACATATCGTCTCTAAACCGCTCCGGTGTCGAGGCTGGCAGTCGGAAAACAGGAAATGCTGCCATGACAGTCCACGTATCTGGACATTAACCGGTCTATTTTTCTACACCAGTGATTATAGTTATGGGTGGGTTGATAACGAGTATTCGAATGGCCTATTTCTTGGTCGTCGTTACTTTGAGTCAGCACACTCCAAGGGTGCGTTTACTTCTGAGTTAGCAGTGCTAATTCTGATAACCGGATGTGACGTCATTAGCACGTGTATTCATGCTTGCTTGTCCAATTCGAAAGTGAACACATACGCTAACAAGAAATATGGCTGGAAACCCCTATATTTCTTGTTAGCGTATGTGTTCACTTTTGAATTGGACAAGTAAGCACGAATACTCGTGCTAATGACGTCACATCCGGTTATCAGAATTAGCACTGCTAACTCAGAAGTAAACGCACCCTTGGAGTGTGCTGACTCAAAGTAACGACGACCAAGAAATAGGCCATTCGAATACTCGTTATCAACCCACCCATAACTATAATCACTGGTGTAGAAAAATAGACCNATAGCGTATATTTTTTTTTTGTTGGAGAAGACGGAATAATGCATGGCAATTACACTGTCTTTTCCTCAATTTTTGACGTCGAACTTCGTTGTTCGACGTCAAAAATGACTTCTCCTGTACATTCAATATTCATCGCAACATCTTTTTTCTTCAACTTCTTACTTAACATACAGACCAATTATCAGTCCAAATTGTAAATTTTTACAAGCCGTAAAGAAATACAATACTTAAAACTTTTCTGGAACAGGAACGAGATTCAATTTCAGTAACTGCCCAACTTTCAAACTCAATAACAGTTTTTCGATTATTTTTATTTTTTTTTTTTTTTTTTTTTGTTTATTTTTAAATTATTAGGGAGACCTCATCCAATTCATCTAGATAATGTACCGTCAGTATCTTTTTCTTCGCCCAGATGCAAAACCATAAGCCAAAAGCATTTCAACAAGATGAAGAAGTACATAAAAAGGCACAATGCATCTAATAAAAAACGGAAACCTTTAAGGGAAATTACGCCTAATGCAGTTAATTGTGATGACCTCTCCAGATCTCTTCATGGTAAATAATTTACACTTATGTAAAAAATTAAATTTCTGTTAACTAAAACATAATATTAATACTTGCGTAAAAATAGATAATTTTCTTATACAGTAGTCTTGAAAATTCGGCCTAATATGGACCGAAGGGTGGCCGAGTTTGTGAAAATGCCGGGTTATCGGGAATGGGGTTAAAAAAGGATAAGTATGCGTGTTTCCTCAGAAAATACTGTACTGTACTTGATGTATTGTTTGTTTGAAAATACAACAGAGAATAAACTGCCCAAATACCCTTAAACAAAGGAAAAGTACATACTTTATGAAGGCATAGAGCCTTTACTACATGAAAATGAAAATTAATGAATACACTGTGTATGGTAATTTACCTGATAAGACAGACCTGAGAAAAATACTTTATGACACATAAAGCTGTCTATGATGAAAATTAATTATCTAAGGGTATTTTTGCCCTGCCAGGGTGTAGCTGGGTTATCGAGTGCCGAGTTTTCGAGACTACTGTATTTGTTTATGAAAAGCAATAAAATAATATTAGGTTTTTAGTCTGAATTATATATCGTTATTTTATTTATTTGCTCAGTTTGATGAATGATAATGCAAAAGGTCATGCCAAAAAATTAATTTTGATGTTAATGCATTCTTGTAATCAAAATACCAAGTTTTGCTGTCCTGCAAAATGTTGTAATCATGAAACAACAGAAATGAAGAAACATTCTCCTTGGCAATAAAATGTATGTAAATAAAATCAGAACTTTTTTTGGCTCTTCTGGAAAACCTTATGACCTTTTGCAATATCATAGACGATAACATTATTGTAGATTATGATTTTATTAATTTACCTTCAAATACGGTAATTGCATTATGGTATTCAGAAAACTTTCGCCATTTTTTCTTGAAGCTTGTTTATATGTTTTGAGTACAACATCAATCGCTGCTTGATGTTGTACTCAAAACATAAGGCGTATTCAAAATCTCAGATAACTCAGAACACACAACAATCTACAATTAACCAATAACTGGTGTGAAACTCTTCAAAAAAATCTGTGAACGTTTTCAATGCCACTCCTGGGCTCTTCTTCAGGCTTATTTTATATCTTCCGTTATAACTGGATTCTTTAATTCTAATGTTTTTAAAAATTTGGAATGTGCTCTTTTTCTGAAAAAATTCCAAATGTGGATTGAATCTACATGCTATTTTAAATATATTCTCTACCAATGGTTATTCGTTATGTGCACAATACCTCAGCGTGCTTCTGGCAAACTGCAAGTGTCTTTTTTGTTGCTCGATACACCATCAAACAAGAGAGCTCTCATGATCCACCATGAGGCTTATGAGAGCTCTATTTTGCATTGACAATTTTGAATTTAATTTATTTGTTGATGAATAAACCCTGAATAAATTAAAATTCGGTTAGTACATTAACAGAATATTTTAATATACTAATATATTTACGTAAGACATCACATAATTTTTTTTAGTTGTTAAAGTGCACTCTTAGGAGTGATTTAATTATTTAAAACTCTTACTGAAATTTAAAAAAATCTTTAACTCTGTTTCTCTTATGCGATACACTTCTTGTCCAGTCTTATGTTCAAATATACGAGCACTAATATGGCTTTTCTTTTCTGCTAGACTTATTACATCATCTATGAAACGAAGGACAAACTTTAGAAAGACTTTTTATTTATTCGAGTATGCATTTCGGATAATTATATCCCTTTTCAACTCTTGTGTTACAACTATATAGGGAAAAAATAGTATAATGTATACAAGTTAGCAAAATTTTTCTATAATTTTACAAAATTGTGAAAGAACATTAGGAACTTACATGGATTGTGAGAAATGCAGGAGTTGTGACATTAGAATAAATATGGAAGGCGATTATTGATTAACAGGTAGAAGCAACAATGATGATTAAATTGGAAATGATTTACAAAAGGGAAGGATTAACATAGATGTAAAAAAAGTTTTTGAACTTACAATGAACATGACGGCCTGTACATAGTGTTGGAAAAAAGCATTCCAGTATACATGACACAATGTTGAGTTAATAATATAAAATTTGGGAAACTTGTTCTTGGTTACAGTAAGGGTAATAGAAACCTTTTGGAACAATCAATATGATGAAGTGAGGTTAGTGCACCATTAAAATAAAGGGAACAGAAAGAGATTGTTTTAGTTTATAGGAGAGTTTCACAGGGTGGGACGTATGCAGATTGTAAGTGGGAGAGGATGCGTTAGGACGGCATCAACTTGAAAGGGGAGAGTGGTAGTGGGTGGGGTGGACCTAAGGGAAGGGAGGATCGAAAAAACAGGTGTTTTTGAGGGGTTAGGGAGTTGTAGAAGAGTGAAGGAGGAAGGGAAAGTGAGACATATGAGTAGCCTGTTGGGTGCCGTATTTTAACACATTAAGCACTAACACATCCCCCTTCTGAGCTTCTCTTGGTCAAGTATGGATACCAAGTTTCATGTAGCTTTTGACCAATGTTATTATTCATTACACTGTCTTTGTTTTTAAGGATCTCAAGATGTTCCTACCATCTTATTTTTTTGTGTATGTAATTTTTTTTTTGACAGTTTTTACAGTTTCTTATAAGATTTGGCAACCTTTGTTGTTACAATGAACAGCAACAGCTGAGTTACAATTATATTTAATCGCAGCTATGTGTTCTTTAACTTGAGTCTTCAGATTTCTACCAGTTTCACTTATATAAGATTTGGGATTAGTGCAGTTGCAGCTGAGTTTGTAAATTACGTGTTTTTGGTCTTATATATTAGTATTATGTGGGTTCATCTTGTAATTTAAACAAGGAAACTCTTCTGGTGCTAAGGTTATACCATAATTATGTGATATGGATTTGATTCTTTCAAATAAATTTTGTTTGTATGGAATTTTAAAATATTTTTGAGTGGTGTTATTGTTTTTATGTTCGTGTTTGTTAGTTTCTTTGATATTGATCTATTTGTCGTGTGTGCTTTTGCTGTAATTGTTTATTAAAAATGTTTTTATTACATCTTGTATTTCATCAGTTCTATCAGTTTCGTTGGTGGTGCGTTGTAAGATTTTGTCAATGTACATGTAAAAACTGTTTTTCTTTATGTAGGAGGGTACCTCAGAAGTGTAATGTATGACACTGTCAACGGTGCAAGGTTTTTTGTATTTTTTAAAAGTGGTTTTGTTATTAAACCTAGTGACAAGGATGTTTAGAAAAGGTAACTGGCAGTTAGTTTCAGGTTCTAAGTCAAATTTTATATTAGGGTCTATTTCATTAACAATTGCTAGAATCTGGTTAGTGTTTATAATGTTACTGTCATAAACGATGAAACAGTCATCCACATAGCGTTGTAGGTCTATTATGTTTTTAATGTTTGCAATCTTTTTATTAATGTACGTCATGCTAAGATCAGCTAAAACTGGGCGTATTACTGAGCCTATTGAGATGCCATCAATTTGCCTATAGAATTTCTCTTCGTTATTGAAGTATTGATAGTTATTTTCCAACACTAGGGTTGTCGTGTCTATGATCCATTGGTTACAGTTGTAGGTTTTCAAAGTTTCTAAGATTCTGTTAAGCTTTATCAAAGGATACATGTTGCATACGTCAAGGGATTCCAATCTATATAGCTTGGTTTAAACGTTAGTGTTTAATTTTTGTATGAAGCTATCGGTACTATTTATACTATGATGGGACTTCTCTAAAACATTTAATTTCTGTTTTAGAAGTAATTCGAGGTTGTAAAATATACAGGTAACCCCTGTATAACACAGTAGTTACATTATAAAAAATTGCCGTGTTATACGAAACAAAGAACTAGTACGAAAAGGAGGATTAGGTTCGAAAAATTAAGAAACATGCTATTATATTTTCATAATTAATATAAATATCTTTATTAAAATTTTCTTAAGTGATACATATTAATATAAATTAAACAATGTTCTCTTTGTCATCACTAAAAGCACTATTAACCGAGAGCGTTTTCTTTTTGGCAAGTTATCCTTATCTTCTGAGCATTTTTCTGCAATATCTTTAGATCCAATGTTTACCTTTTGCAAAAAGTGTGTAATTTTAGATTGCTTGCTGCTAGTTAAAAGTTCTTTATAAATTTCCTTAAATGGTGCTAAGCACTTATGAAGAATAAATCAAGTGTGGAATAAAGGAAAAACATCTGGCAACAACGGAATCAGAAGCGTCGAGATCTGGCAACATTGAAACAAGTTTTGAGAAGGACCATGTGTATCGACAGACGGCGAGAAAAGAAAATTTACCATACTTAAGTACCGATAGTTCAGAAAAATAATAATTTTCGTGAATTATTATTACTTAAGTATGTAAAAATTTATTACATTTCATGTTGTACGAGGGTTTTACCCAATTCTCGAACCGTGTTAGAGTGAATCCGTGCTATAGAAGTGCTGTGTTATATGGGGGTTAGTTACTTCTATAGCCTTTTGTGTCTACTAAAGGTCTATAAGTAATAGGGTTTTTATAAGTTTTGACTCTATAGGAAAACTTCGGTATTCTGTTATCACTTCTTAAGACAAATTGCTTTTCATCAATAAGATTGTTTTTCAAGGGTAATTTTTAATTTTTTGTTGAGTGAGTCAGTAGGGTTATTACTAAGTTCTGTATACTTATTTTGATTGAGTAATTGCCAATAGATGGATTCATCTCGTCCCGAATAAGGATCAAGATGGTATTATTATTTGTTTTGTTTTATCTGCTTTGACAATTAATAAGTTGTTATCTTTTAAAAAATTTTTTAGGTTATCTATAATACGCTTATACCTAATAATTTTATTTTTCGTCTTTTTGTTGATTTTATATTTAAATAATTTGTGTTGAAGTTCTTCTCTTAATTTGATTTTTTGTTCTTCGGTTGTTTGTGAAAAGCTGATGATGTTTTCTGAGCTAACGTCCCATTTGTTTTTATCAACCGTGGTTGGGCCATTAAAGTTTAAATCTCTACTTAGTAGTTTACACATGTGGGGCGGTATTTGGATGTTAAATAGGTTGACAATTNACATTAGAAAAAATATGGAAGATGATTATTGATTAATAGGTATAAGCTACAATGATGATTAAATTGGAAATGATGAAGTGAGGTTAGTGCACCATTAAAATAAAGGGAACAGAAAGAGATTGTTTTAGTTTACAGGAGAGTTTCATAGGGTTGGACGGTCTGCAGATTGTAAGTGGGAGAGGATGCGTTAGGACGGCATCAACTTGAATGGGGGGAGAGGTAGTGGATGGGGTGGATCTAAGGGAAGGGAGGATCGAAAAAACAGGTGTTTTTGAGGGGTTAGGGAGTTGTAGAAGAGTGAAGGAGGAATGGAAAGTGAGACATATGAGTAGCGTGTTGGGTGCCATATTTTAACACATTGAGCACTAACATATCCTCTTTCTGGGCTTCTCTTTGTCAAGTATGGATACCAAGTTTTATGTAGCTTTTGACCAATGTTATTATTCATTACACTGTCTTTCTTTTTAAGGATTTCAAGATTTTCATACCACCTCCTTTTTTGTGTATGTAATTTATTTTTTTTTTTGACAATTTTTACAGTTTCTTTTAAGATTTGGCAACCTTCATTGTTACAATGAACAGCAACAGCTGAGTTACAATTATTATATTTAATCGCAGCTATGTGTTCTTTAAACCGAGTCTTTAGATTTCTACCAGTTTCACCTATATAAGATTTGGGATTAGTGCAGTTTCAGCCGAGTTTGTAAATTATGTTTTTTTGGTCCCATATATTAGTATTATGTTGGTTCATCTTGTAATTTAAACAAGGAAACTCTTCTGGTGCTAAGGTTATACCATAATTATGTGATATGGATTTGATTCTTTCAAATAAATTTTGTTCGTATGGAATTTTAAAATATTTTTGAGTGGTGTTATTGTTTTTATGTTAGTGTTTGTTAGTTTCTTTGATATTGATCTATTTGTCGTGTGTGCTTTTGCTGTAATTGTTTATTAAAAATGTTTTTATTACATCTTGTATTTCATCAGTTCTATCAGTTTTATTGGTGNTTTTGTTGTTGTTTATTTTTAAATTATTAGGGAGACCTCATCAAATTCATCCAAATTATGTAACGTCAGTATTTTCTTCTTCGCCCAAAAGCAAAAGAATGAGGCAAAAGCATTTAAACGAGTTTAAGGACTACAGAAAAAGGCACATTGCACGTAATGAAAACCGGAAACCTTTAGGTGAAATTACGCCTAATGCAGTTAATTGTGATGACTTCTCCAGATCTCTTCATGGTAAATAATTTACATTTATGTAGAAAATTAAATTTCTGTTAACTAAAACATAATATTAATACTTGCGTAAAAATAGGTAATTTTCTTATACAGTAGAGTCTCAAAAACTCGGCCTAATGTAAACCGAAGGGTGGCCGAGTTTGTGAAAATGTTGGGTTAAAAAAGGATAAGTATGCGTGTTTCCTCAGAAAATACTGTACTGTACTTGTATGTATTGTTTGCTTGAGAATACAACAGAGAATAAACTGCCCAAATACCCTTAAACAAAGGAAAAGTACATACTTTATGAAGGCATAGAGCCTTTACTACATGAAAATGAAAATTAATGAATACACTGTGTATGATAATTTACCTGATAAGACAGACCTGAGAAAAATACTTTGAGGCATAAAGCTGTCTATGATGAAAATTAATTATCTAAGAGTATTTTTGCCCTGTCAGGGTGTGGCCGGGTTATCGAGTGCCGAGTTTTCGAGACTCTACTGTATTTGTTTATGAAAAGCAATAAAATAATATTAGGTTTTAAGTCTGAATTATATATCATTATTTTATTTATTTGCCCAATTTGATGAATGATAATGCAAAAGGTCATGCCAAAAAATTTAATTTTGATCTTAATGCATTCTTGTAATCAAAATACCAAGTTTTGCTGTTCTGCAAAACGTTGTAATTATGGAACCAACAGAAATGAAGAAACACTTTTCTTGGCAATAAAATGTATGTAAATAAAACTGTAATAAAACAATAATTTTTTGGCTCTTCTGGAAAACCTTATGACCTTGTGCAATATCATAGGTTAATTAATTTACCTTCAAATACAGTAATTGCATTATGGTATTCACAAAACTTTTGCCATTCTTTTCTGAAGCTTGTTTTTATGTTTTGAGTACAACATCCAGCGCTGCTCGATGTTGTACTCAAAACATAAGGCGTATTTAAAATCTCAGATAACTCAGAACACACAACAATCTACAATTAACCAATAACTGGCGTGAAACTCTTTTAAAAAATCTGGGAATGTTTTTGATGTTTTTCCTGGGCTGTTCTTCAGGCTTATTTTATATTTTCTGTTATAACTGGATTCTTTAATTCAAATGTTTTTTTAAAAATTTGGAATGTGCTCTTTTTCTGAAAAAATTCCGAACGTGGAAGGAATCCACGAGTTATTTCATATATATTTTCTACCAATGGGGATTCGTTATGTGCACAATACCTCAGATAACTTTCCGGTTGCTACCAGTGTGTTTCTGGCAAACTGCAAGTGTGTTTTTTGTTGCTCGATACACCAGCAAACAACATGGCAACCACCACTAGGCTCGTAAGAGTTCTATTTTGCATTGACAATTTTGAATTTATTTGTTGATGAATAAACTCTGAATAAATTAAAATTTGGTTAGTACATTAACAGAATATTTTAATATACTAGTATATTTATGTAAGACATCACACAATTTTTTTTATTATGTGATACGCTTCTTGTCTAGTCTTGTGTTTACATATACGAGTGCTAAGATGGCTTTTTTTTTCCACTAGACTTAGTACACCATCTATGAAACACAGGACAAACTTTAGAAAGGCTTTTTATTTATTTGAGTATGAATTTCAGATAATTATATCCCTTTTCAAGTCTTGTATTACAAATGGATTATGAGAAATACAGGAGTTGTGACATTAGAAAAAATATGGATAGTGATTATTGATTAACAGTTATAAGAGCAAACATGACTGCCTGGAACATAGTGTTGGAAAAATCATCCTAGTAAACATGACACAATGTTGAGTTAATATTATAAAATTTGGAAACCTTGATCTAGGTTGCAGTAAGGGCAATAGAAACTTTTTGTAAGAACCAGTATGATAAAATAAGGGTAGTGCACCATTAAAATAAAGGGAACAGAAAGACTTTAATTTTTTTTAGTCGTTAAAGTGTACTCTTAGTAGTGATTTAATTATTTAAAGTTCTTACTGAAATTTAAAAAATCTTCATCTCTATTTCTCTTATCGAAATGTTCAGTTTTTGTTAAGCTGTCCTCGTTAAATAAGTTCAAAAATAAATTTAACGTAACATGGAAGTTTACAATGTTCACCATTTTTTTATTTTTTTCTTCCGAAATTCCCGGCAGTCAACATTTGTTCTCTAGAAAACACCAGTCGTTGTGTCACTTCTAGCAGCATCTCACTGGATTGATGCTGAGATTTTGAATTTGTCCATAAAAACAAGCTTCTGGATTATCTGAAAGACCTCTGTCCCATCAATTTCAGATAACAGTTTTTTCTGTAAATAAAAATACCAGTAAATTAGCATAATGTATGTGACAAGTTTACTTTAAATAATTTTTATTGTTTTGAGATTTTTGAATTTATAACCAGTTTCAAATGTAGAGAAGTATTGAGGTTTGACTGTATTATACAGGCACAACAGGCAAATATTTGATTTTCTTAGTGCAGATTTAAAAAATAATAAACAATCTAATGTAGATTTATTGACCAATTTTTATAATACTTTTAAAAGTTAGCATAAATATTTGGAATTTCTTATTCCTGTCTGAACGCCATGCTGCTGTTGGGCTGACTGTTTACTGCTAGATTCCTTGTAATTTAAAATACCTTTGTGTAGTAATAGTATTTTTTCTTATAGGTAGGAAAGGATCTGAAATTCTGATTAAAAAAGAACCAGACTGTGATAATGACATGACTTTTGGCAATGGAATTGAATGCAAAACACGCGACGATAAACCAGAGATCGTGTATTGCGGTACTTTTAAAACTGAAGATGTACGGCATAATTTTGTAACAGTGGAGGTTGAACAGCATAATTTGGACTTAGTAGAGGACGATGAATATAATTTTGTCACGGTAGAAGAAGAACAACATAAGTTAAGTATAGAAGATGAACGATATAATTTTGTTGAAGTAGAAGATGACGTTCGTGAAATGGGAATAGTCGACGATATATACAATTCGTTTAGTGTTGAAGATGAAGATGATAAAATAATCAGGGTAGATGACAACAACGGAATTGAACATGAAAAATATAGCTTGGTGAGTAAAAATAGTTTACTTGATCATTTAAATAAAACTTTTGTCTTGTAAAGTTTATTTTTATTTATAAAATTGTATGTGAAAGACTTATCGNTAAGATTTTGTCAATGTACTGTACATGTAAAAAATGTTTATCTTTATGTAGGAGGGTACCTCAGAAGTGTAATGTATGACACTGTCAACGGTGCAAGGTTTTTTGTATTTTTTAAAAGTGGTTTTGTTATTAAACCTAGTGACAAGGATGTTTAGAAAAGGTAACTGGCAGTTAGTTTCGGGTTCTAAGTCAAATTTTATATTAGGGTCTATTTCATTAACAATTGCTAGAATCTGGTTAGTGTTTATAATGTTACTGTCATAAACAATGAAAGTCATCCACATAATGTTGTAGGTCTATTATGCCCTTAATGTTTGCAATCTTTTTATTAATGTATGTCATTCTAAGATCAGCTAAAACTGGGCGTATTACTGAGCCTATTGGGATGTCATCAATTTGCCTATAGAATTTCTCTTCGTTATTGAAGTATTGATAGTTATTTTCCAACAATAGGGTTGTCGTGTCTATGATCCATTGGTTACAGTTGTAGGTTTTCAAAGTTTCTAAGATTCTGTTAAGCTTTATCAAAGGATACATGTTGCGTATGTCAATGGAGGCCAATCTATAGCTTGATTTAAACATTAGTGTTTAATTTTTGTATGAAGCTATTGGTACTATTTATACTATGATGGGACTTCTCTAAAACATTTAATTTCTGTTTTAGAAGTAATTCGAGGTTGTAAAATATACAGGTAACCCCTGTATAACACGGTAGTTACGTTCCAAAAAATTCCGTGTTATGCGAATCCGGGTTATACGAAACAAAGAACTAGTACGAAAAGGAGGGTTCGGTTCAAAAAATTAAGAAACATGCTATTATATTTTCATAATTAAGATAAATATCTTTATTAAAACTATCTTAAGTGATACATATTAATATAAATTAAACAATATTCTCTTCGTCATCACTACAAGCACTATTAACCGAGAGCGTTTTCTTTTTGGCAAGTTATCCTTCTCCTCTGAGCATTTTTCTGCAATATCTTCAGATCCATGCTATACCTTTTGCAAAAAGTATGTAATTTTAGATTGCTTGCTGCTAGTTAAAAGGTCTTTATAAATTTCCTTAAATGGTGCTAAGCACTTATGAAGAATAAATCAAGTGTGGAATAAAGGAAAAACACCTGGGAACAACAGAAGCAGAAGCGTCGAGATCTGGCAACATTTAAACAAGTTTCGAGAAGGACCATGTGTATCGACAGAGGGCGAGAAAAGAAAATTTACCGTACTTAAGTATACTAATAGTTCTCAAAAATAATAATTTTCGTAAATTATTATTACTTAAGTATGTAAAAATTTATTACATTTCACTTTGTACGAGGGTTATACTCAATTTTTAAACCCTGTCAGAGTGAATCCGTGCTATAACAGTACCGTGTTATATGGGGATGGTACAATTCTCGAACCGTGTTAGAGTGAATCTGTGCTATAGAAGTGCCATGTTATATGGGGGTTACCTGTATAGCCTTTTGTGTCTACTGAAGGTCTATAAGTAATAGGGTTTTTGAGTTTTGACTCTATAGGAAAACTTAGGTATTCTGTTATCACTTCTTAAGACAAATTGTTTTCATTAATAAGATTTTGTTTTTCAAGGGTAGTTTTTAATTCTGAGTGAGTCAGTAGGGTTATTACTAAGTTCTGTATACATATTTTGATTGAGTAATTGCCTGTAGATGGTTTCATATTGATCCTTATTCAGTATTATTATTTGTTTTGTTTTATCTGCTTTGACAATTAATAAGTTGTTATCTTTTAAAAAATTTTTTAGGTTATCTATAATACGCTTAAACCTAATAATTTTATTTTTCCTCTTTATGTTGATTTTATATTTAAATAATTTGTGTTGAAGTTCTTCTCTTAATTTGATTTTTTGTTCTTCGGTTGTTTGTGAAAAGCTGATGATGTTTTCTGAGCTAACGTCCCATTTGTTTTTATCAACCGTGGTTGGGCCATTAAAGTTTAAATCTCTACTTAGTAGTTTACACATGTGGGCGGTATTTGGATGTTAAATAGGTTGACAATTATGTTATTTAGCCAGTTTTCTATTTCTTGGATGGTAGGGTAATTTAATTTTTTAACAAGTTTTTGGTATTTTTTATAGTAATAAGTATGATTATTATGAGTGGGGGTTCCTTTGTAGTTAGTATGGTGGGTATTTGTTAATTTTTTGATTAATTTTGTTAGTTATTTAATCCTGTAATTTTTACAACGTATAACAGACTTTAAATTATTTTTTTACGATTACAACATCATGCTTTTGCATATCTCTAACTGTACTATTTTTAATTTTTAAGGCTGGTAGCAGTATACTTTATCTGAGGTACATTCTTATGTACCAAATGTGGACATTTAAACGGTAATTTTCTTCTCATAAGCTTTTTAGTCTCGATGTGTTGGAAGTATCATCCCTGTTGGTTTCTTGCCAGTTGTCTTCTTCTCTGTTGTTCTCCCTTCCTTGATGGAATGTAGGCATTTTTGTGCTATTCGTTGAATTATGCGATACGCTTCTTGTCTAGTCTTATGTTCAAATATACGAGCGCTAAGATGGCTTTTCCACTAGACTTATTACACCATGAATGAAATGGAGGACAAATAAATAAATAAGTCTTTCTAAAGTTTGTCATTTGTTTTATTGATGGTGTGATAAGTCTAGCGGAAAAGAAAAGCCATCTTAGCGCTTGTAAATTTGAATCAAATTTCTCTTATCAAAATGTTCATTTTTCATTAAGCTGTCCTCGTTAAATAAGTTCAAAAGTAAATTTAAATTAACATGGAAGTTTACATCGTTTACCATTTTTTTCTTCTGAAATTCCTGGCAGTCGGTGTTTGTGTTTTCTAGAAAATACCAGCAGTTGTGTCACTTTTGGCAGCATCTCACTGGATTGATGCTGAGATTTTGAATTTGTCCATAAAAACAAGCTTCTGGATTATCTGAAAGATTTCTGTCCCATCAATTTCAGATAACAGTTTTTTCTGTAAATAAAAATACCAGTAAATTAGCATAATGTATGTGACAAGTTTACTTTAACTAATTTTTATTGTTTTGAGATTTTTTAATTTATAGCCAGTTTCAAATGTAGAGAAGTATTGAGGTTTGACTGTATTATACAGGCACAACAGGCAAATATTTGATTTTCTTAGTGCAGATTTAAAAAATAATAAAGAATCTAATGTAGATTTATTGACCAATTTTTATAATACTTTTAAAAGTTAGCATAAATATTTGGAATTTCTTATTCCTGTCTAAATGCCATGCTGCTGTTGGGCTGACTGTGTACTGCCATATTCCTTGTAATTTAAAATATTTTTGTGTAATAATAATATTTTTTCTTATAGATAGGAAAAGATCTGAAATTGTGAATAAAAAAGAACCAGACTGTGATAATGACATCACTTTTGGCAATGGAATTGAATGCAAAACACGCGACGATAAACCAGAGATCGTGTATTGCGGTACTTTTAAAACTGAAGATGTACGGCATAATTTTGTAACAGTGGAGGTTGAACAGCATAATTTGGACTTGGTAGAGGACGATGAATATAATTTTGTCACGGTAGAAGAAGAACAACATAAGTTAAGTATAGAAGATGAACGATATAATTTTGTTGAAGTAGAAGATGACGTTCGTGAAATGGGAATAGTCGACGATATATACAATTCGTTTAGTGTTGAAGATGAAGATGATAAAATAATCAGGGTAGATGACAACAACGGAATTGAACATGAAAAATATAGCTTGGTGAGTAAAAATAGTTTACTTGATCATTTAAATAAAACTTTTGTCTTGTAAAGTTTATTTTTATTTATAAAATTGTATGTGAAAGACTTATTGGGTTTTAAAAAACTTGCAAAGAAACAAACTCGTTAATATGAAATAGTAAAATAAAGATTTAGACCAGTTTATTCAGTAATCACATCAAATTTAAACAACATTCAAAGTTATAATCTGGAGCCTGATCATGTGCAAAGAACTAAAATAATGTACATATACATTTAAAATTTAAAGTCAAGTTTAACGTAATGAATTAAGCAAGAATTGTCATTTGTTGTGAGTAATAAATAAATAAGAAAAGCACAACATATAAAAATTATTTGTATGTTAATTCTCTCATTTCATATTTACTTCTGTCATATATTAATTAGTTAATAAGTCAACTGATTTGCTGAATGGCAACTCAGTTAGCCTATTAACTAATTGATATATTACAACCTGGCTAAAAGTGATAATCCTGAAATATTTTTGTCATAATTTTGAAATATTTTAGTCATAATTTGCATCTTTTCATTTAGTCAATGAATTCTTTTTGTTCTAACTTTAAAGCTTTGTCCTTATTTAGTTTGCCTGTTGATGGCTATTCAAAGTGGTTGTAAATATAGTATTTGTTTTTAAGTTTTATTTATATATTATATATTATATTTATATATAAATGCAATTACATTTAGCTTCCGGCAGTGGTTGGAACAACATAGGAATATTCAGTTGAAGGTAAGGTTACCTTCAACTGAATAAGCCTATGTGATGTTACTGCTGGATATTCTTTATTTCTTTGTGAGTATTTGTAAAATATTTTGAATATTTAAAATAAATGAAATAATGTGTTTTGAGTCTACAAATGTTTTTCTAACCTTTAAATAACTTAATTGAAAGAAAAGTTATGAAATATTTTGTTATTGAAGATTGCTTCGTATTAAAATTTTAAGTGCTTTGTTAAACAGCACTTAAATAACTAGGCATATAATAAATGTCCATTAAAACGTTTAATAAACTGTAATGGAAATGTTAATTATACAAAAGATGATAATATTTTAATGTTTTACTATTATTATTATATTTAACAAAAACTAAAAATAAGGATGTTTATTTTATTTAACATTAACCAAGCTAAATCTGAATCTATATTAGAATTGTTTTTGATATTTTAGTTTAATATTTCTTTGTTTTTTTTTTATCTAGTATAATAAAATGAATTTAAAAAATGTAGAAATGAGTTGTGTAATTTTCCTGGCTGTTATGAGATTTTATTTTAAAAATCACTTTTTAATTATTAATCATAATAAATAAATAATATTACATGTAACACCATTTATTATGAGAGACTGTTATAAAAACAATATATACAGTAGAGCATCAATCAACCGTCACCTCGGTTAACCGAATGCGTTCTAGTCTGCAAATTCAAATGTCAGCTAGTGATGTGGCGCTACAATATTTGGCTATGTCTTGGCTACTTTAATAGTATTTTTACGTGTTTTAGCTGGCAACACTGGATCGACCATGAAAGGGAGCCAGTATTTAAACGAGGCTTAATTTTCTAATCTTGGACGATGCAATAGCGACAATTATTATTTTTAAAAAAAAATTGATAGGTTTAACATGGAGGAAAATTCAACACAAATTAGGTTAATAGCAATATACTAATACACTAATTACATGGGATATAATAATATACTACAATAATAATGGATTTTTTCATACTTTTTGGTTATTCGACCAACCCCAGTCTTCAGTTGAGTCGGATAATCGATGCTCTACTGTACTATAAAATAGCAAAGAATTTAATTTTGAGGGTAGTGATGAGTTCTATAAAAAGAAGTAAAGTCTTTATTAAGCCCAACCTCGTGAGATATGCCACATGACCACCCTCTACTTCCCCCTTGACCTTTTCTCATTAAAATTTAATAGCATCAATGCTCCTTATACACAAGCAACTGTGTTAAGTTATGTTTCTCAATCTTTACTCCATTTCGAGATATTAAATGAAACAAATGCGCATGCGTAGATCCATAATTTTTTTGACATTTTTTATTTTTTATATATACATAACAGCTGGGAAAGTAAAATGAGAGCTATTTAGTATTTTTAGTAATTAGTATTTTTCAATACCAAACTGTTTAAATTTTCTTGTATGTATGTATANCCCGATTAACCGACACCTCGGTTAACCGACTGTCTTAGTTGGCAAATTTCAAATGTCCGCTACTGATGTGGCGCTACAATATTTGGCTATGTCTTGGCTACTTTAATATTATTTTTACGTGTTTTAGCTGGCAACACTGGTTCGACCATGAAAGGGAGTCAGTATTTTAACGAGGCTTAATTTTCTAATTTTTGACGATGCAATAGCGACAATTATTATTTTAAAAAAAATTTGATAGGCAATATACTAATTATATGGAATATATTAATATACTATACTAATAATGGATTTTTTCATACTTTTTGCTTATCCGACGAGCCCCACTCCCCAATTGAGTCGGATAATCGATGCTCTACTGTACTATAAAATAGCAAAGAATTTAATTTTGAGGGAAGAGATGAGTTCTATAAAAAGAAGTGAAGTCGTTATTTAGCCCAACGTCGTGAGATATGCCACGTGACTACCCTCTACTTCCCCTTGACCTTTTCTCATCAAAATTTAATAGCATCAATGCCCCTTATACACAAGCAACTGTGCCAAATTATGTTTCTTAATTTTTACTCCATTTTGAGATATTAAATGAAACAAATGCGCGTGCGTAGATCCATAATTTTTTTGACATTTTTTTATTTAGGTGTCTCAAAACGTGGAGATTTACAAAAATCTCAGTGTCAAATTTGACATGATTTTAATACTTTTCCTTGTTGTATATACATAACAGCTGGGAAAGTAAAATGAGAGCTATTTAGTATTTTTAGTAATTAGTATTTTTCAATACCAAACTGTTTAAATTTTCTTGTATGTATGTATATATATTTTTTTTAAACAGGTGCAAAATAAGAAAGATATTTCTGGGTGTGGCATTCAAAGCTATAATTCAGATCGCTGCCATCAGTCGTATCAAGATGATTTTAAAGAATACCGTGTTCCCAGTTCTCACATTCGTCCAGAATTCGATTGTTTCAAAAATACAGTCGGTAGAAAATCTAAGAATGAAGACAAAGGTACTGTTCAAACTCTTTTATTTTTGTAATTGTTTAAAAGATTTCAGTTTAAAAACAAATGCATTTTATTATAAAATTGAAAATTTTAAACTAATAATTTTTGCCTAAATTTAAACAATCATTCAGTTTTGTATGTATTTTGATTGTTTAAACTACAAAATGTTTTATTTATGTGTATTATAGTATAATTAATATATAGTTTATGTGGTTAAGAAAAATAGCGAATGTATTCATTTTATGTATACATAAATTTATTCTTAGATCATTGTTTAGGTCAGTGATTCCCAAAATTTTTTAAGCCACTGCCCCCTTGGTTCCATAAACTTAAACCGAATGATCCCTAACCCATTTTCTCTTGTGTGAAAATGACTTGGAAATATTCTTATAAAAACTGTTTTTACAAATTTTGTAAGGTTGCCAATGGGGCTGGAAATGTCAAGAAGGTTGAGGGATTGCAAAGGGTTGTATGTGGGCAATCGGCACTGAGACAGGACAGTTATCTAACATGAAAGAAGCTTACAAGATTTGTGAGCTTGGAAGTTCTAAGTTGGCAGCGGCCTCTGGGTCTTTCTCTCTTTTACAAGATAGTCCCAAATGAAGGAGTGTCCAAGATTCACGAATAACAGTTCTCTTGATGTCTTGATGACCCAGGACGATGTGGTCAACTTCCGGTGATAGGAAGTTGTCAATCTGAGGACGAGACAGAGACAAAGATGGGCACAAGACATTTACACAATTGGTCCGACACTTGGAACTTTTGGGAGAAGACATTGTGTCCTTGAATGTCTTGGGTTTTATTATTTTCTGTCCTCAATCACCCATTCTGATTGTTGGTTTCTTTGTTCTTGCTTTCTAAGTGGTTGACCACTCATTACTATATGTAACAAGATCTCAACTTAGATCATAGGAGAGGTCAAAATTGAAGTTTAATTTGACCCCCAACCCGAGATGGTCGATGGACTTACATTCTTTTATAGTTTAAAAGTGTGTGTCATGTTTTCATACAAAAGACTTTCTAACTTCTATTTTTTTTTTCGAAATAAAAAAATTATTTTAACGCAAATTTCAGTGAGGGTTCAGATCTGTTCAGAGCATCATAATTTTAACTTACTGTACATCTGGAAACCATTAAATGCGATGTTTTTTCTTGCCCATTTTAACAGTAGAAAAGAAAAGATTGTCAGTGACACTATCTAATCCTCATCTATGATTACTATTCAGCATCCTGCTGCTTGCTTACCTTCTTTTGCATACTAGATTTAATCACTGCTTTTAGGGGGTGATAGCATCCACTTTGGAAAAACACTGGTTAAAAAATTTGCTGCCATGTGACAATCTGTTGGGAATTTGACTAAACATACTGAGCTTCAACCTTTTATTTTNTGATAAAATCTGTCATTTTTTAATGAATTATACAGGCTGTTCCTCGAATCTCCAGAGTTTTGCGGATTAATTTTGGGAATATATAAGTATATTACTATAGAATATGATGATGATACGTCAGATATCTAAACGAATGGATTTTAAAGAACAGATTAAAACTAGGGATATTCAAGGGGAACACCCTGTATATTGCCAAAAATATATTTTATGTAAAATTTTACAGATGTCAATATTGTTAAAACATATATAAGAATTATGTTTGTATTTTTATACATTTCATTGTCATAAATAAAATATTTTTTCCCATGGTCAGTGTGATTTTACTAGCTACACAGGGTATCCTTTATCTGGTATCCCAGAGTACCAGGGTTTACTAGCTACACAGGGTATCCAGTTTACACTGGGATCATTCCTTCTTACTCAACAAGCTTTGTGTAAAAGAGTAAACAAAGATAACCCAACTCTCATTTATGGGAACCTTTGTATATTGATTTTACATCAAAAAGTGACTTCAATGAAAGATTCTGTGAGCTAAAACTGATTGGTATAGGTTACATTTATGTACCCTCTGGGGTACACAGTTTAATTCATAATGTTACACAAATTATTGAGTAATTTTGGCAGTATCCAAAATTTTTAATTATTTCATCAAATGTTGAATACAACTTTAATTGATCACGTGAGTAGAAAATCTGTTCCAAAACAATAAAAATAAATTATTTCAACATATACAGATTTATATACAGTATTTAAATTCTGAAGAATACAGAGTAATTAATGTTCGTCTTGACGGCATTTAGACTAATGAATTACCTGTTAAAAATCGAATTAATGAAAAATATTGCAAAAAAATTATCCTATATTTTATATATCCAAATTTTTGTACAGTTTTTATCTGTTACACGAAACAATCACAAGAGGAGATTTCGAAAGTCATCCTCGTAAAATTAGTCTTGTGACGCGGGGATGACTTTTTGAAACACTTCTTGAGAGAAAAATTATTGTTTTAATATAAGCTAAAACCTCTTAGCAATAGAATTTATCAAGTATGAATTCACTTGCGATATGACTCCCTAGTCCTGTCATATTACTTTCCTTTCTCCCCATTCCTTTCACCTATACTTTGCGAAATTCAATAACATCAGTACCCTACGTATAGGAGTCACCAAAGCATTTTACAAGTTATCCTGATAATTTACACTGGCGATAGAAGGCGAAGAATATCAATAGTGTTCAAACCCTCTATCTCGGCTCAATCAAAAACGGTCACCTAGGATTATTCCACTTTTGATGAGTGGCAGGTAGTCTACAAAATGCATAAAAAATTTTTTANTTATATATTAAAGCCAAATGATATAATTTGGTAATTTTGATATGTGCTAGGAGAACATTCAAGGAGTTACAGTGGTAGAGTGAGGTGACGTGAGCTGAATAATTACCTTGTGGGATGGTACATTGGTAATTCATTTAACAAATAAGTGATGTTTAAGCAATTGAAATTATGCTGTAATAAACAGGAAAATATTTAAGAAAATTTTTATTAGAAAAAATAAATTTCAAAATTTATTTTGAAAATGTGAAAAGAAATATATGGGTATATTAAAATATAAACATAAAAAGGTAACATCTGCTGAGGAGAGGCATTGGACCAAAATTAATTGTAGTGGCATACAAGATTACATTACATTAAATATATTTTCATTGGAAATTATGTGTTTCTCTTCCTTCAGTATAAGAAAAAATGTCCAGAGTGGACCAAAGTATAATATAATTTGGTAATTGTTTTGGTTTTAAGATATAACTGTTGGCATTTAGATGTTTATGTTTGTATGTATATACAGTAGACCTTCCTATAACGCTTAGATACNATACATTTCATTGTCATAAATAAAATATTTTTTCCCATGGTCAGTGTGATTTTACTAGCTACACAGGGTATCCAGGGTACACTGGGATCATTCCTTCTTACTCAACAAGCTTTGTGTAAAAGAATAAACAAAGATAACCTAACTCTGATTTATGGGAACCTTGTATATTGACTTTACATCAAAAAGTCACTTCAATGAAAGATTCTGTAAGCTTAAACTGATTAGTATACGTTACATTTACATACACACTGGGGTACACAGTTTAATTCACGTTACACAAATTATTGAGTAATTTTGGCAGTATTCAAAATTTTTAATTATTTCATCAAATGTTGAATACAACTTTAATTGGTCGCGTGAGTAGAAAAACTGTTCCAAAACAATAAAAATAAATTATTTCAACATATATAGATTTATATACAGTATTTAAATTCTGAAGAATACAGAATAATTAATGTTCGTCTTGACGGCATTTAGACTAATGAATTACCCATTTAAAATCGAATTAATGAAAGATATTGCAAAAAATTATCCTATATTTTATATATCCAAATTTCTGTACAGTTTTTATATGTTACACGAAATAATCACAAGAGGAGATTTCGAAAGTCATCCTCATGAAATTAGTTTTTTGTAATGCGGGGATGACTTTTTGAAAAACTTCTTGAGAGCAGAATTATTGTTTTAATATAAGCTAAAACCTCTTAGCAATAGAATTTATCAAGTATGATCCCACTTGCGATATGATTCCCTAGTCTTGTCATATTACTTTCCTCCCTCCCCATTCCTTTGGCCTATACTTTGCGAAATTCAATAACATCAGTACCCTACGTATAGGAGTCACCAAACCATTTTACAAGTTATCCTGATAATTTACACTGGAGATAGAAGGCAAAGAATATCACTAGTGTTCAAACCCTCTATGTCGGCTCAATCAAAAAAAGGTCACCTAGGATTTTTCCACTTTTGATAAGTGGCAGGTAGTCTACAAAATGCATAAAAAAATTTTTTATTTTCCTGTTTGACTGTAAGAAAATTTCTCTTAAGAGACTGATCTGCTTTCATTCTTAAGTTAAGATGAAAGGTATTTAAAATTAGAAATTCACTAGTTTAAGTATATTCTAATGTAATCACTCTGTGATCTGGCAAAATTACTAATCCGGCACCCTTCAGATTCCAATGATGCAGGATTACTGATCAACTTGTATTTATTCTATTTAAGTTGATATTCAATGTGTATACAAGCGTCCTTTAAAGTTCTAACATACCCTCACCGCACCTGTCTGAAGACTCCTCGGCAATGTTCAAAAGCTATAACTATAAAATTCTCAATAAACTATATATATATAAAACCAATATACTATAATTAAAACAGGACATAAAAAGTAAAATTTCTAAAATCCAATTTTTTATCTAACCATCCGTAACCTCATCCGTTCTAAGAACATTAACTTTAAAACCGGACAAATAGCATTGTATATTACCTTACTAGAAAGAAATCGACGCAATAAAGCTTCACTTATAACAGTACTTTTTAAGTATAAACACCCTGAACATATGGCCGATAAAAGCGGACACACAAAAATAAAATGTAATAAAGTATCTTTCTCCCCACATTCGCAGAAATCCGACTCCACCAAATTAAAAGAAAACAATTTATCCCTGAAGTCCCTGTGACCTGTAAGTAATTGGCTAAGATAAAAATCGGGTAAAACCCACCGTGCTCTAAGTCTCTCCCATACGGATGGAAAAAAGATCTCAGTCTGTCTCCCCTTGCTCGACTGTACCCAACGGTTGTTCCACTCCTTCACCATTTCATTCCTGATCAGTCTGCGTATCCT